GTTTTATCCTTAATATATACCTGGAATTCGCTTCGCACGACTAAATCCTTGTATTATCGCTTATTAGTAAACACCCACAGGAAAAATAATTTTATACACAATGGAATTTTAGATAAAGGTATGCAACAGATAATTGTATTCATTAATTAACCTGATGACGTTTTGGGTTCGGGTGTACGAAGTTTTTAATCCGGTTTTGATTAACATAACAAAGATTTTCTCATCAAAATTCCAACTTGTGGTTGTTTTGAAAAGGCTACCCGGACCAATTATAAAGTGTTGATTTAATAAATTGATAATTGTGTTCGTTTTAATATGCATCTGTTTTCTTTGAAATAATAAAGTGGCATGCACTTACCCGTGGTATTTTTTCATCATGAAGCACATCAAAGACAATGCGTTAACAAAACTGTGATTAATTCGTATGTAAATGTACTAACAGGTATTACAAGCAGATCAAATTGATGAAGCACATCAAAGGTAAGCAATTAATTTTTAATTGGTGTGATTGGAGTAATGTTGATTTATTAATAAATAAATAACAACATGTTTATTGTCTCTATTCATTCTTATTGGTCCGAGTAGTCTTTTGGGTTGGTCTGAGAAGCAAAGCTAAATATTTGTCCGAGTAGCAGATCTAAATATAGGTCCGAGTGGTCTTATATTATAGAATAATTGGTCCGAGCGGTCTTTGGGTTGATCCGAGTAGCAGAGCTAAATTTGGCCCAAGTAGTCTTACAATATACAGTAATTGGTCCGAGTGGTCTTTTAGGTTGGTCCGAGTAGTCTTTCGGGTTGGTCTGAGAAGCAAAGCTAAATATTTGTGGTTTTACATTATAGATTAATTGGTCCGAGCGGTCTTTGGGTTGGTACGAGTAGCAGAGCTAAATACTGGCGTTGGTGGTCTTACAATATACAGTAATTGGTCCGAGTGGTCTTTTAGGTTGGTCCAAGTAATCTTTTGGGTTGGTCCGATTGGTCTCTGTTTTGGTCCAACTGGTCTCCTTTTTCGTCCGAGCGGTCTTTGGTCCTAGTTGGCTGGTACCCTTATCTGGCACGCACCATAAATTATCGGGCATCGGATATTAACTAGTGCCGGGTAGATACATTTGTATTATTTTGTGTCCCTTATATAACGGGTTACGTACATTGATCCATTACTGACAAATGCGACTTGCTAATATCATTATTAATATTATATTATCAAATATATTGTTATTTATGCAGAGGTTAATTGATCAAATATATAGGATTTTTTAACCCTGGTTGACTGCGTCATATGTGAATAGCTAAGATTATGTGCCCGTACGTCTGTAGTAGGGGTGATTTCTTATCGAGTTTTACATGATTACTCACAATGAATCAGAATGACGTCTCATAACAAGAAACCATGCTTTTAAAATCTTAATATTTTCATGCTCACCTTGATATAGTGGATCACTCAATATTTTCTGTCATTCTTGTTCACTTGCATTTAAAGACATACGATTATAGCATTTATCAGTCTTGTTTGAAATTGCGTTTTTTGGGTATATATGTTTGTGCATTGTATGTAAATTCTCCAATAGTTGACCAAGTGAAATATTTCTATCAGAAAGATTTTAAAACCAAGCAGTCGGTATAAGAATGGCGGTATGGAGTCAACCCCGGGTGCAGGTCTAAGTCTAAAGGTGCTAAATCAGGTCTACTGTCTCAAGAATGAATGTTTTGTGTGCATCGATGGAAACTTTAACTCAGGGGTTGGAGACCAGGCTGATTATATCTTAGGCGTTGATGAATTGCGAAAAAGTGCAATTTCACTGGAAGTGCTCGACTCTGACAGTCGACTTGTGACGGACAGGGAAACCGTTTTGAGGCACCGGAAAGATGACTTTTCCCAACTATATACAATAACAATCCAGATTTGAGTGAATGAAATCGACGAAGAGCACCTGCACGGTATACATAATCAAGTGTTTTCATCTCTTGAATCAGAAAGCGTAGAGAAAGAATTTTGGTGAATTTAATGAATCCATCTCTGTAATTGAAATTAAAAATGTAATAGGTGACGCTAAGCTCAGAAAAGCCACGGGTATAGAAAAAATCCCGGTCGAGAGTCTTAAAAACCCCATATTTGTTGATATTTTGCATATAATTTGTAGTTTTTGCTTTGAAAACAGTGTAGTCCCTGAGAATTGGAACATGAATATCATAAATCCCATTCTGAAAGCAAATACAGTCAGGCATGTGCCACTGTCCCATAGGGGTATATCTCTTTTGTCTATTCCATGCAAAATATTTTCAGACGTCCTAAATGCCAGAATTAGCAAATGGTGTGCAAATAATGATAGTTTTGTAGAAGAGCAAAATGACTTTCGCAAAGATAGAAAGTGCATTGATCATTTATTTTTATTCATTAGTGTAGTTAGAAGTCGAATTAAAGCTAAGCAATCCACATTTTGCTGTCTAGTGGATATGGAATCAGCCTTCGATAACGTAAATAGAGACTGTTTGCGGTATAAAATCCGAAAAAAACGGGCTTAAGTGGAAAAATTGTTCATGCTGTAAATAGACTATACAACAATGTTAGGCGTTCCGTTCGTGTAAATGGTGGGCTTACTCCTTGGTTTGACGCAAAAGTCGGCGTTAAACAGGGCTGCCCATTGTCGCCACTACTTTTTTCTATCTACGTTAACGATCTAGCTACCGCTATAAATGACTTATATCGTGGCGTTGATATCGATAAAAGACGACATTGCTTTAATTGTGCCGTCAGAAGACAAATTGCAAATTATGCCAAATGAAATTAGTTCTTGGCGCTACAGATGACGTTTGCCTGTAAATCAGTCAAAGACTAAAATTGTACATTTTAGATCATCTACATGGCAAATATCGGAGAGAATATTTACTATTGGAAATTTAAATATTGATTATTGTAAAAGCTATAAGTAATTGGGATTATGGCTAGATGAGCATCTGAATTTTAAATTGTCTGATAATGAACTAGCCAAGTCAGCAAGGAGAGCTATGGCGGCTCTTTGTTCAAAACACTTCCAGACAGGAGGATTCCCATATAGCATATTCGAATCTTTGGTTCAACTCATCATTCTCTATGGGGCGTGAATTTGTGGCACTACCGAGCTCGATAAATTGAACAGTGTTCAAAATCGAGCATGTAAAGTCTTCCTGGGTCTAACAGCCCAAACTTAGCAGCTAGCGGTGACATGGGATGTACTTCGTGCATAACGAAACAAGGGGGGTTGGATGGCTGAATGGTTAGCGTGCGCGCGCTGTATCATAAAGTCTGTCATTGAGTCGACTGGCGTGGTTTCGAATCCCCGGTTGTACGTGACAAGGAGTAGGGTCGCCTGTCCAACCTCGTGGGTTTTCTCAGGGTCCTCCGGTTTCCTCCCACTGTTAAAGACCCCTACGCGCAAGCGAATTGTTGAAATAAAATTAAACCATATGTTAGTCCCGAAATGACCTAGTTTGTGTCGAGTGGACGTTAAATTTCATTTCTCTGCCTCTCTCGCATAACGAAACAGAGAACACAAGTACTGAGTTTATTTTGCCGTTTGAAATGTTAACCTAGTAGCAGATTATCTGTTATTAGTAATTGGTCACTCAGACCAGCTAAATCTTGGGAAAAGAATGTGCACGCCGTGACAAAAAATCTTAATATTAGTCATATATGTAGGCCTATTGTCGAAACCATAAATTAACTCATTTAAAAGCTTTAAAGCGTCACTTATTCCAAAATTTTGAGATTAAATGGTTCCAAGAGTTATGGAATGTCAACAAAACCCCTAATGGCAACAAATTGAGAAACATCGTTTGTTTATAAAGGCTTTGAAACCCGAACCTTATGTTTTAGTAAACAATCTCCCACGTCATGTACGTAAGGCCACGTCATTATTACGCAGCGGTAGCTCTGATCTTATGATCGAAAAACCAAGATACAGTCATCCCCCAACCCCACTTATTTGTCGATTATGTCCATTCTGCTTAGAAATTAGACAGAATCACATTTTTTAATAGAATGCAAAATGTACTCCGACCTTCGTTATAGACCTTTTAGAGAAATGCATAAGATAACGTAAATTTCTATAAAAGATAAAGTTATTAGTATTTGTGCGGGAGCCACGGTGGCTAGGTGGTTAAGACGCTGGCTCGCTAGCCTGGAGGTCGGGTGTTCGATCCCTGCATTGGCCGAGAAAGTTCATCTGGATTTTCCGACATGGTTTCCCCTTGTTAGTGGTGCAGAACGGAGGGCCTGACAAGGACAGCTGTCTAGTCTTTCGGATGAGACGAAAAACCGAGGTCCAGTGTATACATTGGAATGCACGTAAAAGATCCCTTGGCAGTTGGAATTTGATATAAGAGTAGGCGATAGTGCCGCTGCCCGGGCAAAATTTCCCTCATAGCACACTGTATGGTGTATGCCCGTCTTCATTAGCCCAGTATAGGAGCAGAACAGTAGGACGTTAAACCCCATTTCATTTCATTTCAGTATTTGTGCTAGTGATAACAACCCCAGTATGATATGTAATTTTATATTTGACATATTGTTTCAAAGGAAATCCTGGTTTTTAAAAGATAAATGATACTATTTTATAATATGATGTCTTATCTAATATTAATCTGTATGCCATTATGGTTGCGCAGTGTTCTTTTTAATTAAGTGTTTAACTGAATTATGATATATAAATGTACACCTGTGTGACACTTTAAAAAACACCTCTTCTTCTCCTGTGTACAAAGTGGTGTAGAAGAATTTTGTCTGAACAGTAGCATTTCCTCAAACTCCTCTTTCAGGGGTTCTTTTATGTGCATGCCAATGTGTACATGGGTAATCCACTTTTTCATGCCAACTGAATGACTAGGCACTTTCCTTGTTAGCCTAGAAAGCCCTTACACTGAAAAGCGAAGGTCGGGCAAGCTAAATCTCGAAAGCACGATTTATCAAATTGTTTAGCCAAGATGGAAGATGGAGGATGCACAAAAAATACGAAAATTCCCAGTTAAAGTTTTTAGTAATTTATATGTAAACAAGCTATTATTTAATCACAAACACCAGTATATTATAACCTCTTAAACATATATTTCTATATAAACAATAATAGTCATGATCCCTCTAAACAATACTTCTATATAAACACATTTGTTGCTCAAAAACATATTTCTATCATAAACATATATGTTCCCCTAAACAATATTTCTATATAAACATATATGATCCCCCTAAACAATATTTCTATATAAACATATATGTTCCCCTAAACAATATTTCTATATAAACATATATGTTCCCCTAAACAATATTTCTATATAAACATATATGATCCCCCTAAACAATATTTCTATATAAACATATATGTTCCCCTAAACAATATTTCTATATAAACATATATATGATCACTCTAGACAATATTTCGATAATATTAAGCTGCCATTTAAAATGGGAAAAATATTTAACACATACAAATTCTTTTAGATTTACATTAAAAATACCCTATGTAAAAAAAATAGCTAAAAATAAATCTCTTTATTTCATAAATGAAAAATCTTATAATATACAATATATAAAACAGAGACAAGAGACCTGCCCCCTAATAAACCCTCAAACATCAAAGTTGTCATGTTAGTTCTAAAATTATTGTAAGCAAATTTCACAAAGCATGTGTATGATTAAATTTTGGTTTTGAAATATTAGGTGAAGTGTGCTTCTTTACTAATTTTAGTTCCATTTTTGGCTTATTTTTTCAACAGTGGAAAACAAAAGCTGTTATATCTTAACTCTGGACTGATCTATAGAGACAGGTTGTCATCCTATAAAGCAAATTAACATATGAAATCAACAATTTAATATCGCTTGAAAATTTCAAGTATAAATGAGTCGATGCAAGCTAGAAAAATTTATATTAATAATCACCCTTTATTCATTTTAATATCGTTTTAAAATTTCAAGTATAAATGAGTTGATGCAAGCCCGAATAATTTATATTGATATATATAAATCACCCTTTCTTTATTCATAATTATGGCTGAATATATGCATATTAATTTAGAAATTCAGCTGTGGTGCTTGCAATATTCTTGAATAACAGTCAACGTTTATCTTTCCATAATGTGCACCATTATTTTGATCATCAGTTAATTGAAGTATTAGATTAATTAAACATTGTAGATGGCAATGGATGGCATGTTTTAAATTAATGCAAAGACTAGACATAGTTTTTAATAACAATATTGCCACTTTTAAGAAAGGATTATAATATTAGTACATTATAAAAAATATAAGGATTATTAAATCCTCAATTTTTCACTCCGAATTTATAAACTGTTTGTTGTTGGTAGGTCTCTTCTGGATGCAGCACAATCGATGGAAAATTTTTCTGAAATTAAAGCAAAAATTATTCTCACATCAACTTGCCATCAATTCCCCTGATTATCATTGCATTGTCCTAGGTCATTTTGTGACTAACATATGGTACTTTTTTTTTCAATATTTCGGTTGGATCTAGGCGGACTGTTTTAATGGGAGGAAACCAGGGGACTTGGAGGAAACCTGTGAGGTTAGACAGACTACACTACTTCTTGCGATGTGCATATGTTGGATTGAAACCATATGCCATTTGACTCAGTGAAAAACCTTATGTCTAACGAGAACATGTAAGATCATTGTGCCACACTGAACTCCCCACTGTGTAAATGGAATGAATTGAAATGGGGTTTAACGTCCTACTGTTCTGCTTCGAACTGGGCTAATGAAGACAGGCATACGCCATACAGTGTGCTATGAGGGAAATTTTGCCCGGACAGCGGCACTACGGCCTACTCTTATATCGAATTCCATCTGTCAAGGGATCTTTTATGTACACGCCAATGTGTACACAGGACCTCGGTTTTTCATCCCATCTGAACGACTAGCCACCTGAATGACTGGATACGTTTCCTTGAATTTATCACAGTTCGTCACCAGTTAGAAATTGCAAATATGGAGAAGCTAATAGACAGCGATCTATGTCAATTACCTGATTAATGCTGTTAGGGTAACCTTGAGCTTCCAAGGCTAAAGCATCAAATCTTCGATAAACAGCTCCAGCTTTCCCTGTGATGTCATCAAAATAATAACTTGTATAAAACTGTAGACCAGGACAGGTTGTATAACATTCCATAAATCTTCCAGTAGGAGGATGATCTACCCTGAAAGACATTTCACATACCTTCAAATAATTGGTTCAAGATACCAATACTATTATATAATGAGACAAAAAGAAGAGAAAGGAAATAGGGTTTAATGTCTTATGAATACCGGCATTTGCCCATCAGTGTCCTAACAGGGAGGTTTTTTCTGGACCGTGACATTATGACCACTCTCATTTCTATTTACAGCTGTCTGGGGATCTTTAATGTAATGGTTTACTTTGAAACTCATTTTTTGTTCCATTCGACTGACTAGATGCCCATCCTTTCTAGGCTCTTCTTCTTGCATTACTGAAAAAGCTGACACAATGCTGAAAATCCTGAAGAACTTTCTCAGCCAAATATTGATAATTACCAGATACAATAATTTCCTTGAGAAATGACTGAGAATAATTCAAACTAAGAGATGTTTATTTTATATCATCTACAAACCTTGCTGCTAGCTGTAAGCTGCCAGTATCATTTATATTAAAATTGTTATCATATCCTTTTCCCTCATTTACCACTGATAATTTATCAACCATCTTTACACCACTTCTTAAATCCATTAGACTACCATCAACTTTCCTAATTTCACCTGAAATATTAATCACATAATCACATGCATGCATTGTAATCGGGGATGGGCAGGTGTAAAAGTAACCCATTTTAATGTCCATTGTTGTCCCCAACCTTTCAGAGAACGCAGGGAACTATTAAATTGGTTTGTCCATTAGCCTGTGAATCTGTCAAACTTTTTGGAACACAATAAATCTGATGACACTCAAGGGTATCGACCAGGTAACCGTCCTGACAAAACACGTACAAAATGGGTAACATGTATTTATAGCAGATTGAGGACCCTAATTGCACCCAGTGAGAGTAGGGATCAACAACACTACAAAACACATAAAGGGTGGATAACATATATTTATAGCAGATTGAGGTCCCTTATGGCACCCAGTCAGAGTAGGGATCAACGACCCTACAAAACACGTAAAGGGTGGATAACATATATTTATAGCAGATAGAGGCACTAATGGCACCCAGTCAGAGTAGGTATTAAACATTTTGTACAGGGATTAAGCTTGCTAATCACTATGTCAATTCCTTCATCTTAATATTGTAGAATAATTTGATGAAAATCTTACACCATAGAGGAAAATGGAAAGAACAGTGGCATAACAAAGCAGAATAAAAGATATCTGGAAAAGAAGTACCCTTGACTAATGGGTTGGAAATTGTCTTAGGGCACTTTTAAAACTTCTTGCTCCATTGTAGGGCCTACCATCTATTCTATGGGAAGAAAAAATCAAGGTCCCGTGTGCACATTGACGTACACGTAAAGGAACCTTTGGCTGATGTAATTCGATAATATATAGTAGGCCATAGAGCCGCTATCCGGGCAAAATTACCCTCATAGCACACCGAATGGCATATACCCGTCTATTCACCATCTAATCACCCTCTATAATATTAAAATATTACCTGTTGGTATAGAGGTATCATCTAAAGGGAGATAACTATCAGCATGTATTGTCACCACATGATCATCTATACTTCCACTGGCCTATTTAAAGATAAGTTACATGATTTTAAAAAATATGTCAGATTAGCTAGACTTTCTTTACAAATAAGATCATTTTTAGTAACATCTCAATTCATAAACCAAAACAATCATTTATGAATGTTAGTAACATTTATCAGGATTGCATACTTGATAAATGAGCCTATGCCACATTTTTATAGGGCTACTTCCCTGTAACCAGGTTAAAACATTTACGTGCGGTAATTGATGCGGCCATTTTCAAGTGATGCAGACTTATCTGAGATACCAGTAATTATTACATGTCCGCCAAGAATAAAGGGCTGATTGATAAGATCCCAGTACTGCTAGTTTTAAAGGGCCCATTGATAAGAGTACCTTTAACTATCATACATGCATGGCCCCCAAGAATAAAAGTTTTGTTGATAAGCTATCAGTAATTATTATACATACATGGCCACCAAGATTAAAGTAAGAATGATTGGTTAAATTAATAGGTGTTGATTTTGTTGTAGTAGCTCTATAGTTTAAGTTCAGTCGATTCTCATCATCTAACTGATAATCAACATGAACAGTTACTTCCCCTGGATAATTCTCTTCACCATCAGCACTGACATACGTCAACGATAGCTTGTCTCCATTTACTGCACTTTTCCATATAACCTGTTATAAAAGAAAATTAAAATTAACATGCTTTAAAAAATGACATCTACAGCATTCTATTTTAAAATAGGGAGATCTATTGCAATCCAAAAGATTAGATACACTTTCGTCACCTGGAAACCACGGTGCCTCAATGAGTATGGTGATAACTCAAAAACAAAGGATGAGAGTTGGAAATCGAATTAAGAGCAGGTCGTAGCGCCGCCATAAGGACAAAATAAATCTTATGGAACAGTGCTCTTTGTATGCCCATATTCATTAGCAGGGCTTATGCAGAAAGGTAAGACATTAAACGTCATTTTATTTCTTTTTCCTCACCTTCCCACCAAGGCCTTGCTCAGCACCCAAGGCAACAAAATGTTAAACTTTTACATTTACCTTGTCAAAACCAATTTTTCCACCGTGTAAAGAATTAGGTCCATTGTTAATGAATAGAGAATATTTCTGACCATCTAACTCAAACTGACCTCCAGCTATACGATTAGCAACTCGACCAATAATTGCTCCCATATATGGACTTCTTTCTTCATAGCCTAACAAAATTTCGCAAATCATATCAATTCATTCTTATCACAAATCATATCAATTCATTCTTATCTATGTTGTATTCAAATGAATTAAAGGAACTTTCCTAATTCTATCTTGTCATGTAATTATGGTTCCCTGGATCATGTCACTTTCTTGTGAAAAAAATCAAGTTGATGCTATGACTTTTAAATATAAGATACCAGTGGAATGGACTTTTACATCTCCTCAACTTCGGTAATATGAGACTAACATTTCATTTCAATGGATATAGAGAAAGCGAAAAAATGAAATGGAGTTTAACATCCTACTGTTCTGCTCCTAACCTGGGCTAATGAAGACGGGCATACGCCATACAGTGTGCTATGAGGGAAATTTTGCCCGGACAGCAGCACTACGGCCTACTCTTATATCGAATTCCAACTGCCAAAGGATCTTTTACGTGCACGTCTATGTGTACACGGGACCTCGGTTTTTCGTCCCATCCAAACGACTAGACAGCTTTCCTTGTCAGCCCCTCCGTCCTGCATCACTGACAAGGGAGAACCACGCCGGAATATCTGGATGAACTTTCTCGGCCAATGCAGGGATCGAACACCCGACCTCCAGGCTAGCGAGCTAGCGTCTTACCCACTTAGCCACGTGATCCCCTAGAGAAAGAGAGAAATGGGGTTTAACGTTCACTCGGGGCAAACATATCATTCAATTTTATTTAATTTATTCACTTGTGCGTAGGGTCTTTAGCAGTGGGAGGAAACCGGAGGACCTGTAGAAAACCCACGAGGTTGGGCAGACATCCCTACTACTTGTTATGTACAAGCGGGCAATCTAAACCTTGCCGCTTGACTCAATGGCAGACCTTATGATCCAACGCGCACATGTTAACCATTTGACCACCCAACCCCCACTCAATGGTTGTATGTATAAAAAGAATTTTGACTTGATAGCAACATTTCTATCTTCTTCGAATTCCAACTGTCAATACAAGGATCCTTTCACACGAATACAAATTTGGACAGTCGTTTTACGCCATATACAAACAAATGACTTGGCACATAAAATGAGGTTTAATGCTCTGGATCCTGGTGGGGAGTGCGAGTGAGAAAAATTTTGAGAAACAAAAAAGAGAGAGAGAAATGGGGTTTGACGTCCACTCAACACAAACTAGGTCAATGATTCGCTTGCGCGTAGGGGTCTTTAGCAGTGGGAGGAAACCGAAGGACCTGGGAAAACCCACGAGGTTGGATCGGCAACCCTACTCCTTGTCACTTACAACCAAGGAATGGAAACCCCGCCAGTTGACTCAATGACAGACCTTATGATACACCGCACATGCTAACCATTCTTCCATCCAAACATAGGCGTACGGGGAAATTTTTGACTGGCGGGCGGTGGTGGTTGGTGCCCAAAAAATGTAGTTAGGTTCTTAGTATGTTACATAATAATAATAAATTCGCTGTTAAATTGGACACATTCAAGAACACAATATCTTTTTTTTATACAACTTTTACAAAATACAGTTGTGTGCCCAAATTTTCCCAGCATTTGGTGACCAAAATGGGGGTGGGGGGCGGCCGCCCGCCCCCCCCCCCCTGCCCCCCCAGCTCGTACGCCTATGCATCCAAACCCCCCTTTGAGAAACAAAATACTTGTACAATATAGAATAATTAATATAAACCTGTACCTGGCATGTCATCAAAACCAAGAGCTATATCTCCCATTTTTCCATCTTTATCAGGAACATGTATATCTGTTATTATTCCACCATAGTCTAATATTTTAACTGTTATACCATTTTTATTTGTTAAAGTATATCTGAAACAGTTAGAGAAACTGATTCAATGTCCACTAAACATAATCCAGGTCATTCCGGGATGAGGGTATGATATATCTTTATTTCAATTACCTATTTGCAGTGGGGGTGTGGGGGTGTGGTGAGGATGGAGAGAGAGAGAGAGAGAGAGGGAGGGTTTAAGTCCACTCCACACAAACTACCACTACTTAACAGTTACCTTTACATTTGCATTAAGATAAGTGTAAGTGTAACTGTACATTATGACGTTTCGCTAAATTCAGACTTACAGTTACACTTACACTAACAGGTGGCAACACAAACTAGGTCCACAATCTCGATAGGCCAACATCACGGATAGATCATTGAAGATGAAATTATTAAAGCACGCATACGTTTTGTCTTAGCCTCTTCTTATTTTATCTACATGAAAGAGAAGGTCGTCTCTGTGGATTTAATTCGTGAAAACCATGATTCAGAGAAAAATTATGGACTGGATCATAAAAATTAAGCAAGGTTTAGCTAAGTGTTGTGAACTTACAGTTATGGCGGCTGCTATCCACCTGCCACACTTAAAGATACATTCCCGGTACAAACTGGGTGATTTAATGGTATATATGGACTAAAAACATATTCAAACTAATTAATTTTGCTTCAAATCCTTCTCAATCATTGTAATTGTGAAGGAATGCCCTGCTATAAAACTTTGATCAAACCATGTCATGTTTACGTCACGTGACTTACCTCTCTTGGAGTCAGAGGAGAATTCATTGCATACATGAAACGATGTTATTTTTAATCGCTTACTATTTATTACAAATATCGAATCCTAATTAAATTCTCGGATTATCCACTACCTGCGTCCTTTTCCGTCATTTTTATCTCAGAAAGTGTTGTACTTCTAACTCTTTATAAAGTTTATCAACTTGTACATCAAGCACTCAATGGTCGCGTGTGACCTTTGACATCAAAAGTGCAGAAATTCCTAATCATCGGGTTGTCGATAAGGGGAACCCTTACATTTTTGTCCTGTATACGCTCCATGAGTGTTTTTCGGGGAATCCAGTATTTTTCTAGTAAGATTGGATATCTCTACTTTCCATATATACCAAAATTGCCATACTTTTATTGGAAATAACCACCCGATAAATACTTTTCTGGGAACCCATCTTTAAATGTGTGCTTCACATCATACGTCACAAAAACTGATGATGTTTTACCATCTAAATATAAATGTAATACTAAATGTAAAGTTGCGAAACCTCACTAATGTGAGGCTTTTTCGATTTTTTTCTTTTCTTTATCGACAACGAGTGTTGATATTTTTTGATATCAAAAATGACATGTAGAAAATTTTATTAATCACCCAACCCTTTCTTATCACACAAGCGATATCTACTGTAGAATGTGTTATTGGGGGATAAATAAAATTTCTCCATCAGGATTGATGTGAAGTCAGGAGTAAAATAATTGCCTTGTGGAGTGTTAACATGAACTGCCATCATAGTTGCATGCGTGAAATTGCTTTAATATATGATTCCACAAGTGATATTATGTGAGAGAGAGAGAGAGAGAGAGAGAGAGAGAGAGAGAGAAATGGGGTTTAACGTCCACTCGACACAAACTAGGTCATTTCGGGACTAACATATGGTTCAATTTTATTTCCATAATTCGCTTGCGCGTAGGGGTCTTTAGCAGTGGGAGGAAACCGGAGGACCCGGGGAAAACCCACGAGGTTGGACAGGCGACCCTACTCCTTGTCACGTACAACCGGGGATTCGAAACCACGCCAGTTGACTCAATGACAGACTTAATGATACAGCGCGCACGTGCTAACCACTAAGCCATCCAACCCCCCGTGATATTATGTAAACAAGATCTAATACATAGGCCTATGACTCTGTTTATAAATGAGGAGGCCAGTATAAATTAGCTATGTCTCCAGTTAGAGCAAGACATGTTAACCATTCTCAGTACAAAGTATGTAAGATTATCATACCTCTTAACTTCAGCCCCTTGTTTTGATTTTCCAAATATTTCCTCAGATATTCCCATTCTATATAATCTGACTTTATCTTTCCAAAATGGAAATAACTCTCGTTGACTGACTAGATCTACAACAGAGAAGAAGAACTGATCACTTATAAATTATGTCATTCAATTCATATGTGGACAAAACAATTTTTATTGGGAGAAACTATTCAAGATGGAAACAGTTTAGGATTACACCATTTGTCCTTTTCATTTACTTTATATTTAAATGACTACTATATACTTAGCATTAAGGATGCATTATGTAAGATTTAAATATAGAGCTGGCTGTTCTTGCTATAATAGATAATGAAAATTAATATGTTGAAAATATCATTCAAATTGTTTTATTCTGAACAACGTTATGAATGTTGGAAGGTTTAACATGATTATAGGCTTATCATGTGAGTAAATGTCCTAATAATAATCTATTAATATATAACATTTGAAGCCAAAATAAAGACTTTCAATAGGCAAATTCAGCTCTTACATTATGCATCTTTGTAAGAAAATAATAAAGTTTACACAAAACCCTACACTTGTCCAATTCAATTGGAAATTATTTCCCGCTGTCCATATTCGATCTTGGGCGGGATGAAAAACTGAGGTCAAGTGTACACATTGGCGTGCACGTAAAAAAAAAATTGGCAGTTTGAATTCGATATAAGAGTAGGCCATAGCGCCACTTTCCGGGCAAAATTCCTCTTATAGCACACTGTATGTGTAAGCCTGTTGGAGCAGAACTGCTGTAGGACATAAAACCCCATTTCATTTCATTTTCGCTTGTAACATGGAAAACCTCTTCAAAGTTATTGTCCCCTGAATTGGCTTATCTCGCTAATGAATTGAATAGTCTATGAATCTAACAGATATGCTGAGAGAGAGAGAGGAATGGTGTTTAACATCCACTTGACACAAACTAGGTCATTTCAGGACTTACATATATGATTTAATTTTATTTTATAATTGGCTTGCAGTGGGAGGAAACTAAAGGACTCTATCCTTGTCACATTCAAGTGGAAATTTAACTTAAGACATAGGCCTTACAGGCCTATTTTGGCCCCAGTTTAAGATTAATTTTGAAAAAGATTTTACAGGTTACAAGACCCTGTGACAAGTACATGTACTTCCCACCCCCTGCCCCTCAGGGCAGTTATAGCTCCATTGTGTAAGATTAAGACAAAGAGCTGACATATAACTGTTTAAGTATAGATAATGAAAAAGAAATTAAAATTTCAATCAAGTTTTTTTATTCTGAGTGAAGTTATTAATGTTTGAAATTTTGATAAGATATTACTAGCGTAGTCTCGATTTTCATTGCTACCATTGTTACAATAATAAACAAAGAATCTACTATCTATTTTAAATTATTAAATGGCTATCATGAAATCACAAACATCTGATATTCCATAGAGTAGATATGGGCTTATAATGTGAATATAATTGTCTAGTTAAACATACATGATGCAAGAGCTAAATCTGCCTATTGCAGGTCTTTCTGACTGAATTGTTTTCTAAATTATTAATTAGACTTTAATTAACACCATAATCAAGTCTCTATGCAATCTCTAGCATGGAATATATTACTGGATGATTTAAGGTCAAAATAGATAATCAAGACTTTGTTTTTTATTGTACCGACTTTTTAGTAATGATGATCGAGGCTTGCCTAAAATTCAAAAGCTAATATCTAGTTACAAAGTGGAGCAATTTGACTGAAATTCTCAGCATAATCTATTTACGTTAGGCCTATCTCTTTTGTAACTATTACAGCGAAAACTGTCAACTTTTTTTCTAATTTCCCATAATTCTCCTTTAATAATTTATAAGACATACATTTGAAGCCAAATGAAAAGCCTGCAGAATATAGACAGATTTAGCTCATCATAATGCATCTTTACTTTCAACTTTAGGTCTCTAGATCTAGCCTACGTGCTTTTCAAACTTTCATTGCATATATGTGTTGCATATGATTCATGAAAGCTTCTTTTTTTTTTAATTGACATAATTGGCTCGCATTCATTATTCGACTGGCTTTCATTATTAGGTCAATGCACGTGTTTTGTTAGTTTCCCGCTTCTTTTTATCCAGCGTGACACGTGACGCCCACTAATCACATTCGAATAATGTTCAACAACCGCTGAGTGGTTCGTGTCAGTTGGGTCTGAAATTATTAACTCTACGCGATGTCTGATCCGTCGCAAAATAAAAGATAAATACTACAGATTGAATATACAAAGTTAAACTACAATATTTAATTCAAAACCCTTGCCTCTCGTATTATATTATAAGCTTCCAAGCGATAGTTACACACAAAGCTTTCAAGGTCAGACGGCATGGAGCGCCACCTAGGGTTGCATTTTATCAATCAAGAAGGAAATATGGCGTCGGGCGGTTATGATGGGCACATGTCTAAACGACAAAGAACTGATGATGGCGGCCATGGTTATGGACAGAGGGTTTGTATTTTGATTTATATAGTTTTCTTTATATACTGAAGCAACATCATGAACTTCTATTTATGTCGTTTACGCCTCAAAATTTGTCTAACATCTTGCAGAGAAAGACCGGATGTGTATGAAATAATACAAAAAAAAAAAAAAAAAAATATTATTGAATCAGCTTTGTTTTCACATTTTGTTGCCCTACTACAAGGATCCATGAATTAGGATAATTAAATATGTTTTGGATAAATCTACACTTTAATGATTATTAAATTAATGCATCACCCAAACTGAGCATTCTGGTAGTGGTATATCCGTATCAACGTAATTAAGTCAGTCAGTACTGTACGGTAATATAATTTTATGAAAGCTTTGGGTTGCAGTTAGACTATACTGTACTGGGTAGCCCTACTACTGCATAAAAATGTCTTAATAGTATAAATCTTGATAACCATATTGAAACAAACATGCCCAACTTCCAAGAACAATGAGTGAATGAGGCAACAACAGTGACAAAAAGTAGAATGTTTTATTGGAAGTTTATTAAAGCAGTCTAGTAAAATATGAATATAAAATATTATTGCTAGACCTAGTCCTAACTTAGACATTAAAAGAAGATAGGCCTATTCCTGCGTAGTTAAACGAAACCCACAAACATAAACATTTATAGACAAAATAAAGCCTCATGCATTACATAATTTGTGCAGGGTTATAGCTGATTAGAGCGATATTCATCCAACCAATTTACTGGTACATAGATCTTGAACTTGATGCCAATATACAGTGTTTATTTTTTGCAGGATAAATATGATGATCCTCACAAGCCCCCACCATCTCCAGTTGTTCATGTTCGAGGTTTATCAGAAGCAGCCATTGAAGGAGATTTAGTTGAGGCTGTACAACATTTTGGTGGAGTGAGGTAGAGTATAGGGCTTAACTATTTTAATTTTTGTTCAAATATTTTGTGTGGCATTATTTCCTGATGACATGACCACTTAAAAATTTGAGAGTTGGCATCTTAAATTGAACGGAAACATCATTCTCTCTCTTCCCCGCACCCTCAATAGGAGAAAAGAATTGTTGTATGTTTGTTAGTTACACAATTATATTGACTAGATCGTAAAATTCTGAACTCCATATTTTATTTGCAGAGATGTAATTATGATGCCAAGAAAGAGACAAGCTCTTATTGAGTTTGAGGTAAAACTATTAAATTATTTTTTAAAACAACAGTGCTAATTTGTAGTTCATTACAAGAAGAAATGACAGTTTAGAATCTATTTTTCATGGTATAACAACTTCCATATAATTCTAATAATAGATTAACTTAATTAGTAGTTATTAGAATTTCTTATCCCTGATATTTAAGTGGGGTTTTTTTTTTGCCATATGAGCCTGTTGGTGCTGATAATCACAGTCTTTTTTTCCTTAATATCCTTGAAGATAAAGTGAATTAAAATGAATATTATAATTAGAAACCAAAGGATAAATTACATTATGATAATCTAATTTCTCTTATTTCAGGATGCTCTAGGAGCCAGAAATTGTGTTGATTATGCTCAGGTATTTATTTGTCTAAATTTATAAAACATAACATCATAATATAATGCTTTATTTATAACTCAGAAATTTCACAAAGTATCTTCAAATAATATTTATAGTCACTGATCATTGTCAGTTTTCATCCTGAATTTTGAACCTTTTCTTGTTTAGGTTTTTTAAAAAAAAAAAATCTTCTCGATAGTACATGTATGTACCGTTTGAAAAATAATATCTAAATAGTCTTCATACCATTTATTTAAGTTTGTTTGTTTCAGTCATCTGCTATCTATGTTGCTGGTCAACCTGCTTTTTTTAATTATTCTACTAGTCAGAAGATTCAACGTCCTGGGTATGAACAACATTTACTTACTCAATGTAGTCTTAATCATAAGTTTTAACAACGTGAAATTGGTCAAGTGCACCATACATTATTTTCAAATGTCTTTTACACCCTATGCTCACATAATTGTTCAAATTCTATCAAAAACAGAGTTTTGAAGATGCAACAAAGGTAATTGATATCAGTGCATTTTAAATTTGTCAGAGCAGAATAATAGGATGTTAAACCCCATTTCATTTGCATTTGTCAGATTTAGAACTAGAAGATCGCTCAAATTTTGTTTGCAAAACTTGTGATTCTGACTAAAATTATTTTGTAGATTTCTTAATCTTTGATAATAGCGTACCGGTACCTACATGTTCAAACTAAATATTCTTTCAATTTTAAATGAGGTTTACTGTTTTAGGTCCAAAGAGTGGTATGAAAGATATTTGTTTTGTTTCTCAGAATTTAATAAGATAAGATCATATTTTATTGCATTATTGCATCTTAAACACATTTTGGCTGTACACAAAATATCTATTGAATTCATAAATATACATATGATGTCATGAAATTTTTAGACATTGTTAGACAGACCCAATCTGTTTCACAGAGGATTACGAAAGTCTTAAATATCTCTGTAACAGATGACTACCTTCAACACGTGACTTTTCATCACGCAATGTCAATCATTGGCTCAATGGCATGTGCATTGTTTACATAGGACCTTACTGGTTCGGGCGGAATGGAGCTTTTTCTCATTTTAATACCCATTACACTAAATAGGAAATAATTTTTACCCACAAATACGTCAAAACGTCTTTATTTATTTTTCTAATACATAACAAAAATGTTTTAGAATTTAATTTGTCGGAGGAAAAAAGTTAATATTTGTGGCTTATTATGTCACATCGATGTCATCCTTATCAGTGATTGTCGCGGCCTAGCGAATATTCACTGCTGATCAGTGTGAGACAGACCATTGTCTAATTTCTTCAAATATCTAAATAGAAATGAGCATTGCATGACATAGATTGATTAGATTGAATAAGTTTTCAAATGTTAGTTGCTTCGTAATAATCATTTTAAAATTCAATCAAAATGTGAATTTGGATTTCTATTGACACATGATTTATTTATCATTCAGTGATCCTGAAGACAGTCAACCAGCTAATCACATCCTTCTGTTTACAATACTTAACCCTCAATATCCAATAACAGTGGTAAGTGGATTACTGTAAAGTTAAACCTTTGTATTATATGGCTACATCATCTGTAATTATGGTAAATAATAAGTGTTCCTTTAATTAAGTTATTGTGAAACAAAGTTACTCATCAAATTTCAAATAACTAAGTACAAAAGTTTAATTTTTTATGCCAAATTATTTTAAATGTAGTTTTAATGGGTTATGTTTTAATATATGGGAGAGCAGGAGGACCCGAAGAAAACCTATGACTTTGGACAGGGGAATCATAATCACGCTGCTTGATTCAATGACGGACCTCATGAACTATGTCTTGTCTATCATATAATTTTGTGATGACGTAAATATAGATACCGGTAATGATTTAACAGTTACACGTCGCAATTAGATTATTTGACTTGTATTTCATTATTCTAGGATGTTATGCAAACCATCTGTAGTTCATATGGTCAAGTATTGAGAATTGTCATCTTTAAGAAGAATGGTGTTCAAACCATGGTGGAGTATCCTTTCATTTGAATAGTTCTACAAATTTATTATGTACAGAATTACATACTACAAACAGTTATTTCTATCAGCCGGAAAAACCTGAATGCTGATCTAATATAAGTCACAGTCACGTCTTGTAAATTTATCCTAGTCAGTTCTCCCTTGTCAGTGATGCAGGACGGAGGGGCGATGGGACGAAAAACCGAGGTCCCGTGTACATATTGGCGTGCACGTAAAAGATCCCTTGGCAGTTGGAATTCGATGTAAGAGTAGGCCGTAGTGCTGCTGTCCGGGCAAAATTTCCCTCATAGCACACTGTATGGCGTATGCCCGTCTTCATTAGCCCAGTTCGGAGCAAAACAGTAGGACGTTAAACCCCATTTTCATGCTCTCAGCCCTGGTTCTCTTTTTAATCCGAATAAATCCAAGTTGGTAGATTATGTACCATTGATATCAGTTTTGTTTTCTAAATCAAGTGTTAAATAATCAATTTGAGCACATTTTAGCATGGACAGCAGCAAAAAATAATATATTGTACCAAATGTCCAGGGTCGGGATTGGAAACTTTTATTGTTTGACTGTGACGTTAAACCCCATTTCATTTCATTTATCCTAGTCATCAGATTGTGACTTAAATAGTTGGTAGCCATTACTTTCTCTTTGATAAGAATTTGTTAAATTAAAATTCAGTCACATCTTATGAAATCAATGTTAATTACCAATTATTGTGTCCTTAATTGTAACAAGATTTGATAGTATTGAAGCTGCGAAGAGAGCCAAATCAGCATTGAATGGAGCTGATGTGTATTCAGGATGTTGTACACTGAAGATTGAATATGCTAAGGTATTATAATATTGAGATTTTAGTTAAAGCCCCCAGTCCTATAGTTTTTTTGTCCATAACTATTCTTTAACTATTTATAAGGATAATATCAGAATAAATTGCTCATGGAATTATAGAATATGAGCAGAACTATCCTGAGGGTTTTTAAAAACAAGTTCTTATGTATTGCTTAATAATGAATTTCACAAATGTTTTATGCTATGATACTTTAACAATACTAACAACTATTTATTTTTTTTAGCCAACCCGGTTAAATGTTGTGAGAAATGATAATGAAAGTTGGGATTATACTAATCCTAATTTAGGTAAGTCTTGTCTATTTACATATCTCAATTCAACCATAAAAATTATATTTTCAAATCAAACATATTTATTATCTCAAACGTAAATTCAAATGAATAAAATTGAATTTTATTTAAACTTAATCATTTAATAAATTATCCATGAATTAATTTGTTGTACATTATACATGTGATACAAACAACAGTAAACCTAAAGAAACAGTCCAAAAAGAACTCCAATATTATTTTTTCAATTACATTTTATGCATTTGGTTACATTCTAAAGGTTGCTTTATGCTTTCATGTCCTGATTTCCTTCTAGTATTTTCCACTGGTCTTATAACATATTATTCAATATAGAACAATATATTCTAACCACATATATAAACAGTGTTTATCTTAAGATTCTGAAATTTGTTATACAATAACTAATATTAAATGTAAATTTTCTTTTTACAAGAATATCAATTATCATGAATTCCCACTTTCCATGTACGAAATGATTTGTCAACAAGCCTTATTCTCACAAATCGGCAAATAATTCTAAAATTATCCAAAATACATTGAAGACCTATGCACGAACATTTGATTATAAATCTCAATTGTACATACTGTAGCTGATTAAAGGCTTCATATTAAATGCCTCAGATGAATCAATTTAACTTCTATTCATAGCATTCCAAAACCATCAAAATCTTGTTACAATTTTTACCATTTCAACTCATTTCATGTATTGTTAAGAGATAACTGATATACATGTATCAAGAAAGAACAACTTTTAAGGCAATTTTTACTGCATGTTTTTAGTAATTTACATGTAAACATGAATTTACAAATGTTTGTTTCCTGTAGTTGATATATACAAACAAGATAATGTATATTCTAAACATACTACATGTTAGCTTATATACTTTTCCGAATAAACTGGTTTTAGTGAGTTCTTATTTGCTATTGGAATACCAGATATTGTTCGTTAGAATATACATGTACAGTTCATAATATTGAAAATTGTATAACATCACAAGTTGTGAAATACACAGACCATTACAAAGTAGAATTCATTCTTTCTGACAGCAAGCAAATGGTCTTTGAACCTGAACAATTTCCTTAGTGCAAAATCACAGTTGCTGCTACATGTACAAAAACGGTCAGTTACAGAAATGAATAAGGCCCCTTTTAGAGTTATACACGATTAATTCTGTCATGATTGAAAACAATATTTGCGGTCTGAATGCATGTTAAAATTAAATCTAGCTACATGTATTAGTTTGATCATGTCAAAAATACTAAAATGTTACTAATGACAATGTTTAACCACAGATTTGAATTAAATACATGTATGTATCCAGTAATCTGCCTTAAATACACAAACACTGATTCTTTAGAATAGTTAGTTGTTGACATTCTATTGGAATCGGTTGGGAATAGTACAGATTCTATGCGATTCAGAAATGCTAGATTATTCTTTATTCTTATTGCAAATAACAATATCTGATAGTGTGACATGTACATTTCATACATTGTTTAAATGACACTAAATTTGACAAAACTGTTTGTACATCATGTTCAGCTAAGTTTGTATGTAAATTTTGTATTATGATATAATAAATAATTTCTTCTGTGAATGAAACAGTACCACTGCAGAAACCACCTTTCTCGATATAGTTTTCTTTAACAACAGCATGGGGATTTCTTTTGCAAGAAAAATTAGACCCAGCATTTACAGGATTAATTGGTGAAAGTTACATTATTACTCTAGGTATTTCTCTGTGATTAGTACATCAACATCTTACTAAAGAGCATGTTCAAAATTATGCATCAAATCAGTGTATTCTAGTACCTTTACATTTACATATATATTGAATACGGAAGATTAGGCTGGATAAAGAAGAATTCCAGTTATATGATAATAGATGTTTTCCATGAATATAGATGCCTTCCATGTTCATAATAAATGACACAGTACCCATGACAGCGTAACAGAAGAAATCCATACCAGTACCGTAAACATTACCAGAAAATAACAAGATGACATACAAATATATGTACATGCCGAGGTATACCATTGAAATATCATTAAAATACAAAATACCTTGAAGAAAAAGCTAGTATAACTACTGTCATGAACAAAGAATGAGACCCTTTCTGACATGGAAGCCATCCATACAAACCCCTTGATGTTATAACATGACAGACTAAAACACACATGCAGGTTAATTCATAGTTACAGAAAGGCCTTTTCAGATAAATGCAGTTAGTTGTGCAATATTCCTACATGATTGGAGACAGAAAAATATTCAAAGTGACACCAAAAACATCCAATGTATTTCATATTCAAATGTGCTGAAAACACCAATTTCCAGAGATTATTCCATCAACAACAATACGTGCAAAACACCAGAGGGAGCACAATAAAACCAACACAAAACACAATAGACATAAAACATTTATATTTTATGTTGGTCTAATCTTGTGTGTTGGTTCATTATAATTCAACAGGCTGTATGGATCCTGACTTGGACCTGTTCAGCCCCTGGTGGAGACAGTGAATAGAGGGAAGACAACTCTCAGTCAACTGGAAATGGTCTGATTTATTGCTTTCTTCAAGGGTTTGATAGAATAAAGTTTTTGTTTTTATTATGTCGAATGTTATTATCAATCAAATATGTTGTTGGTTTATCTGTGTGGTTTTTGCTATAGAGTTAGGTTTATGAGGTAAGAATGTTACTTAATTAAAATTCAAAGAACCTTTATTTATAATTTAACGTTGATAATCGTCAACATGCCATGAAAATATTTTGATTGTATTTGTAGGTAAAGAACATGGTGGTGGAGGTCATTCACGGGGTCAACCATTGTTACAAGAACCAAGATATGGAAGTCAGCCTGCTCCTTACAGTTAGTAAAATTGTTATATTTGAGTTAAAATTGTTTTCTTCTGAAGTCACTGTAGATCAAATGTGACATACTGTTTTTTTAGGATGACATTACACAGATAAAAAGTACAAAGAAAACATGTCACTACAATAATTAATTCAAAACATGTAATTTTCCTGCTTTTGAGTTGAAATATAGTTGACATGTTTTCTAAATTGAAACAGCGAGTTGTTAAAAAAAAAATATGTGATTTTTTTAAAGAATTGAATACAACTCACTTTAAGTGCATTTATGTTACATAAAAATGTGCTTTTAAGCTTATTTTTGTCTATTTTTATGTTCCAAAGAATAGAGCTATACACCTTTTAAACATGACTAAATATATTTTGACAGATGGACCAGCTGATGTAGGTGGTGGTGGTGCTGGTGCTGGTCCTGGACCCGGACCTGGACCGGTTAGAGGTGCTGGTAATGGAGCAGGTTATGAACAAGGTGGTTATTATGATCAAGGACAAGGTGATGGGGGTTATGATACCTATAATGGACCAGGACCTGGACCACGTGGTCCACCTCAAAGATTTGGAGGACCACCAGATAGATTTCCTCCTCCTGCACCTAAACATAGAGGTGGTGGTGGCGGCGGAGGAGGCGGTTATGATGTAAGTGTATTATGTAGTAAAAAATAAACAAGAGTTTTATTCATAACTAATATGGAGTTCAAAGCACAATTTTTTCAAAAGTGTTTTATTTTTACCCCATGTGTTTCATTTAGCCACAGTTGGTCACTTATGAAATTAATTTTCCCAAATGTTACTGCAAATCATCAGTTGACATGTCAAAATCAAAAACAATCTTTTGGTTTAATTTCTTGTATATACATTTTAAAGAATTAAAATGTATGGATACATTGTTCTTGTATATGATGTTTAGAATCTTGATTTTATTTCTCTTCTGTTTTTAGGACCGAGGTTATGGCCCACCACAGCAAAGGAATTTCCATGCTCCTTATGACCAAGGTATGGGTGGAGGACCAGGAGGACCACCAAACTTTAACGGAGGATCAGTTATAATGGTGTATGGTCTAAGTTCTAAGATGAATTGTGATGGAATATTCAATATTTTTTGTTTGTATGGAAATGTTATTCGAGTAAGTAGATGTTTCAGTTTACTTATTTCGTAGAAATTTAAAATGAATTCTGAGTATAATTACCATGTGTCATTTTAATGTGTCAACTTATTACACATAACAGTGATGATTAATATCAAATGTCAACACTTCATACTTGTCTAGTATTCTGTTTTAATAATTAGAATGATGAATATTCATTCACTTTGCCCAAGTGAAGTGTAAAATCTAAACTTTTTGAATCAATATTCCTTGCATGGTGACAAAAAGACATTATATTTGTAGTACATAGTACAATCTTTTTGAATGAGGCACTGTCTTAAATGGAAATCATCATTGTCTTAATTTTGTCAGTGTCACACAACATTGTAGAGAGAAAATTTCTGGTGCCCATTTTCTGACCCTCATCCATGTTCCATGTGCAAGTTGAAGCAGAGTATTAAAACGAAAAACTGACTTCCGTGGGAAAGACAGTATCGACTAGTACCCCCAAAATACAATGAAGAGTAATTAGTACAACCCAATCCTTGTCCTCGTTATTTACATTTGAGTTGCCAAAGAAAACTTATGTTACTATTTAATGTGCAAAAAAATTAGAGATGTTTATATTATTTGTAGGTAAAGTTTTTAAAGAGTAAAGAGGGATCTGCTATGGTACAGATGGGTGAACCAATATCTGTTGAACGTATTATGGCTAATCTTCATGGAACGGTTTTCTTCGACAACAAACTACAGCTAACGTATGTAAAATATTTTTCTGAAGTTAAGACTAAATGGGAAAACAATGTAACCTGGTGACACATATACATCCACCAACAGCAATTTGAAGAATGACTTTCAAGTTTTCAGGGGGATAAACTTCAAATGAATTTAAGTCTTCAGTTTCTCCTGATGATTACCCAAAGAATCCCAGCAAATTTAAACAATAGATCTCGAAATTTCTTAACAAGTGTGTTTATAGGAATTAAGGATGGAACGTCTTATAGGGGGACGAATATGTAATTCAGAGTTTATGTTACAGTACAAGAAAAATTACACATTAACTTGTGATTGAAATTCACTACTAACATAATGTACAGTAAATTGTAATGGAAATTGTTACGTTCAGTCAGTATATTTTATTAAATTTGACTTTCAGGCCCTCCAAACAAGCTTTTCTACAAGATGTCCGAGCACCACATGAATTACCTGATGGTACACCATCTTTCAAAGATTTCATGGGAAGTCGGAACAACAGATTCACCAACCCAGAAGCTGCCCAAAAGAATAATATCCTTTTACCTGGTTAATAAGTTTTAAATTATTAAATTTATAAGTTTTAAGTTGTTAAATTTGATATGCTTGAAAATCTTAGTAAGAATAAAAGATTTGTTTGTAATACATACTTCCAGCTTTAATGTCCCTTATTTAATTTTTCTTAACAATTTATTTACGAATTCATGGGCCATCAAAAGTGCTACATTATTTTAATGCTCCACCAGGATTAGAGGAAGAACAGATCTGTGAGGTGAGTGATTACAGGTTATAAATAAATTACGATATAAAGATGTAAAATACTCTGGGATGTCATTATTTCCGAAAATACTTCACTAATTTGTTGTAATATTCAGAATTTTTTATGTATGGCATTAAAAAACAATCTTTGGTTGAAAATTAACACTCATCTGGATTTTAACCGTACTGAACAACTTTCAACTTTCGTGTAAAATCGGATCACATTTCTAACTGCAGTTGATCTATATTTAGCAATACAAATGGCCATATCTTCTATGCTAATTATTGGCGAAATAGTGCACATTGTATCTGATATTTGTTTTTGACAGATTTTCACAAAGCATGGAGTTAAGAAACCAACTAAAGTGAGGATTTTCCCATCGAAATGTAAGTATAAGAAATGTTTTGCAAAACTGACTGGAAATAACCCTTGCACAAATTTAGCGTGTGGCAATGTTTCCTATTCATAAAAGAATGATTCAAGTTCAAGACTAAAATGGCCCCAAAACTAAACTAAAAGGGTCGACTAAATGCCAAGCAAGAGATAATGAATTATTCAGATATTGGCGACTACAATATTGGCAAAAGGGCTGAGTATTGTCCAGTACCAATATGTTACTTATCGGCAAATTGTGAAACCAATAATCGAAACATCACTTGTTTTTATAATGTATCTTATATAAAAATCTAAATCTAAAAATGTTGTTTTATTATATAGCTGAGAGAAGTTCTACTGGTTTAATAGAGTTTGATACTAAAGGTGATGCTACAGAAGGATTGGTTGTTGGTAATCATTCTACATTACCGAATCCTGTTGGTAAGTTATTAATAATATCAATATTATAATTCTGGCAGAATTGGTAGCTTTTACTCATTTCACGCCTTCGTGTAGGCTTACTATTTTATGTACACATTTACATAGGAAATATTTTTATCCAGATATACTTTCAAAACTTTTTCTGTCAATTTAAAAAATAGACTTTAGAATTTAATTTTGCGTAAGAAAGAGTTAATATTGAGAGCTAATTAACTCGCCTCGATGTCAACCCTTTCTGTGATATAAGTGTCCAAGCAAATATTTACTGCAGATCAGTTTGATGTTGTGTGTGAGGATAATTAATTTTACTGTAACGCTGTTAAATTAGAAAATTTGTTTTTTGACATTACACGAATTCCAGTCGGTTTTATTTTGTTTAAAAATATTGGTGCCAATAGAATCCTATTAAATTATTTATAATTTTTTGTTCTATTTGCAGAAGGCAAAGGTCCATACATCTTTAAACTGTGCTTCTCCTCGACACCTATTGCTGCTAAAGAGTAGTTCCACCATTGTCCGCATCACTGCAATCATCATCATTCATTTAAACAGATTTTATCATTGTATCATCGACATAGTTTTAACAAAATGATTTTAAAATCTTTTTTTATGTTAGAAGTATGAATTCTGGTTGAATCAGAAATTGAAAATATTCAATTCACATAAGTATAACCTACTGAATATTTGCCAATGTCATTGAACAATAAACCATACAAGTCTACTTATAATTCTTAGTTTTTTAACGTTCGCTTCCACCGAGGGTGATGATGTTGCAGACAGTTTGTCTATTAGTATTTTTTATTATCTTAGCGCACACGCAGGGGTCTTTGCTGTGGGTGGAAACCGGAGTACCCGGAGTAAACCCACAAGGTTGAGAAGGTGCTCCCATCTAAAAGTCACATACGCTCACACCAGGGAATCAAAACCACAATCGAAAGTCAATGTGACCGGCCAGATAGAGCTCCCACCCCATGCCCTCTCAAGGCTACTTATTGTGCCCAATTTTTGGCACAATATAACCCGATTGTTGCTGATGTGCCATTATACACCATTTCACTTATTTATGTGAAATTAATGTGTGATTATTATTAGTATACATCATAGATAAAAACACCAGGGAATGGCTGAGAAATATTATAAATCTTGGTCCTTATCAGAACTATTTGTCCAGTCTTGTTAACTATAGAGATATAGGAAGGAGGTAATGAAAGTGGTATCGCAAATAGATTGTAGATCTGGAAGACACTTTCATGCAAATCTGGTTCTGTCTTAGTGAGATTGCCTAGGGCACAGACAAGGAAATAGTGTTCAGTGGTTTAGATCAGTGTGTTCTAACCCAAGGGTGGATCTGTGGGTGGTAAAAAAATAAATCAAAATTCAGTATGAAATAACTGTCATTGGGAAACTGAATTTCGGTAGTGGATATAAGATTAATAGAAGTGGCGATCATCTTGCAGTGGGTTGATCTACCATGTGTGGCCCACGTTAGGGGTTTATGAAAGATTTATGTGACAAGTCCCAACACCTCTAATGTGGGAAATCTGAATGAAGAGAAATATTAATGTGGGGGACCCTCAGAGATATGTTCCAATAGGTTCCCTAGAAAATAATGGTGGGAACTACTGGTTTAGCAGTACACTCAAAAGGAACTAGGTCATTTCAGGACTAACAATGTACAATAATTCATCTGCACATATGGGTTGGACAGGCATGTTTCCTCCTTGTCAGTGAGAGAGAGAGAGAAATGGGGTTTAACGTCCACTCGACACAAACTAGGTCATTTCGGGACTAACATATGGTTTAACTTTATTTCAACAATTCGCTTGCGCGTAGGGGTCTTTAGCAGTGGGAGAAAACCCACGAGGTTGGACAGGCGACCCTACTCCTTGTCACGTACAACCGGGGATTCGAAACCACGCCAGTCGACTCAATGACAGACTTTATGATACAGCGCGCGCACGCTAACCATTCAGCCATCCAACCCCCCATCCTCCTTGTCAGTGGTGCAGGACGAGGGGCCAATGTATAGTTATTTGGATGGGATGGACAACTGAGGTCCTGTGTACACATTGGTGTCTGCTTCACATTTCTTGTTGGCACAACAATCCGTATCTTTTTTTTCAAATTGATCTGGGTTGTCCATGTTATTAAATACTACCAGAGTTATACCCCTTTATGATAAGTTCTAAAAACCAAGACCCACAGCAGATTTCGTCATAGGTCATGAGATGTAATTATGCCCTAACCCTATATTTACTATTAGTCTTGGCTTTTAACCTATCCTTCAGAAATATATAGTGGTCTATCATATTGAAGGCAAGAATATCATATTAAGATGTAGTGGTTGTCTATCCTATTGAAGGCAAAAATATCACATTTCATGCAACTTTCACTTGAAATTATTTTTATTATGCATTGAGATTACATCCAGTGTATAGAAAATAATATAGTATTGGCAGCATACATGTATATATTAATAATAAGGGTGCAACTATTTCTTGTACAGCTTTCAATCCATAATTGCTATCTGAACAATCCATAATTGCTATCTGAACAAATTAATAAAATCATTATTCATGTCTGGAAAAAATAGCATGAATTATGGTGACTGGCTGTTTGCTAAAGGGAATATTGTTGCCATGCATTCTTCTACTGAGGGCAAAGGTCAATATTCGTGTTCCATTAAAGCCAAACAAAACAGGTACAAAAATCTCCATATGACCTTTGACACTGTACAGCAAATTTATACCTTTTTGTCCAACTAAATATTTTTGTAGATGAACTGGAGCAGTCAAGACTACAATTTAATCTGCTTTGAATTATAACTGAGTTTGTCTCTACATGTTTTTCTCTATAACCATTTGTTAAGTCAGAAAAAGTTAATTAAATTGTGCAAGAAGCAGAGGTTTAAAACAGATGGCCAGAATCGAGTTATTATTTTGGGGGAGATGGCCTAAATTGTTCATAAATCTTTTAAAAAAAATTGTTGCACCCTATTTTAAAGCATAAAATACATTAATATAAAAAATATTCAATGGTTTTGATTATAATAAAACAGTGTAGGTTTAAATAACTGCTTGATTTAATAATTTAAAGATTTGATAGTCTAGTTGTAAAAACATTATCTTATGATAGAAAGTCATAATGTGCCCTCACTTCTTATAAATTTTACATAAATACTTCAAACAGGTTTGCACCCTGTGAAGCTTGTTTTCCATATACGCGTTTTCGCCCGTTATATGAAAACACCTGCAAATACAAGCCTAACTGTGAAAGTTAAAAGTTCCATGCATTTATTGCACTTCTGAGTAATATGAAATTCTATATTGCACTATCAGAAAAATAGTAATAGAGTGTGACAGTCCATTGGTCCGGAAATGAGATCGGACAGGTTCAGAGTTCAAATCATCTATTGTTGTAATCATTTTTGATTGCAATTAGTTGTAAATAACATTGATACCCTGTTTAAGTTATAAGAATTTGTTGTGAAAAAAAGTAACTTTCAGTTTTTGCTGTACAGAGGCGCTTATAGTTTTGAATATGAGGGTACCTGTACATCACATATAATTTTGAGTGAGGATAGAACTGAAAGTCACTAACTTGAGATTAATTCTATTTTTTACAACAAATTTTCACAAACTAAATCCAGCTCTGTAAATATCAGACCTAAGAAAAGCTTTTCTTTATACCAAGAAGTTGAAGAAAATCACATACTTGTAACATTTTGATACCATATTTACAAGCAATAATCACAACAATTTTGTAAATTTTGATTTACGGAGTAAAAGTTATCATAAAAAAAATATCACAGATAATAAATAAATAATTTACTTGACATATAGGTGTTTTCAATAATTAATTCATTTGTAAAAAATCATAATTTTCACAGCTTTCTTTGGTGTATAATCGTCGTTTTAAAAAATATCTAAATATTCCATGCTGTTAAAATATAGCCAATTTAACAAATTCAATAATTTTAGGAGTTATGAGAATACATGTACAAAAATATGAAAGAAATAAAAAAATATCACAGCTTAAATTAAAATCAATAACAATATATATATATACGAAAACAAATTTTAACCCCAAACCTTGAACATACACGTACTGTACTTTAAATCATTAAATCATTTTGTCAACAAACTATCAAAAAATATCATTAAGAATTCATTAAATCGTCATATTATTAAAATGTCTCATTAACAATTCATTAAAAAATCTCATTAACAATGCATTAAAACATCTCATTAACAATTCATTAAAATGTCTCATTAACAATTTTTTGAATAGTCTCTTCAAGAATGTATTAAATCGTCTCATTAGTAGATGATTAAATCGTCTCATTAGCAGATGATTAAATTGTCTCATTAGCAGATTTTTAAATCGTCTCATTAGCAGATTACTAAATTGTCTCATTAAAAGATTATTAGATCATCTCATTAACAATTCATTAAATCACTTTATTAAAAGATTATTAAATCGTCTCATTAACAATCAAAGAATTCTGCTTTCTGTTGATATGTCACAAAAACTGCTCTCTTTAATAAAACATAGAAGATAAGAACTTATTTCTTTACATAATAACTTCATTAACAGTAACAGACAAACAGTCAATTAAGAAAGACAAATGAGAGCCAGCAGCCATTTTGATTTGGAAAACATTTTGATTAATAAAGCACTTATCATTAAATACTGTTGGTGAAATTACTTAAAAAGTGCCTAGAATACCTCACACTGTTTTTTTCATGTCGATACTGTCACTCGATTGTGAACTGGGTGTAGGACTAACACCTGGTGTAAAACCTGCTCTAGTCACTACAGTCTGGCGTCCTTTTATCTGTTAAAAAATTCAAAATTACATTTATTAGTCAAATAATGACTGAAGCTAATGATAATTATTTCACATAGATTATATGTCCATTGTACCTTTTTTGAATCCAAATTCAACATTCTCAGCCATTATATGCAGGCGGGATGGATGGCCGAATGGTTAGCATGTACGCGTTGTATCATAAGGTCTGTCATTGAGTCAACTGGCGTGGTTTCGATTCCCTGGTTGTAAGTGACAAGGAGTTAGGTCGTCTGTCCAACCTCATGGGTTTTCTATGGGTCGTCCGATTTCCTCCCACTTCTAAAAAAATCACACCAGTTGACTCAATGACAGACCCTCGTCTGAAAAGAATTCAGTCAGTAATGGAGAAGAGAGAAAATTGTACCTTTGACAAACTCATTTGTGATCCCATAAGTTTCTCCAGATTTTTTGATCCGTCTTCTAGAGCTTTCTTAACATCTTTATCCATACCAGGTATGGATACATCTCCAAATACCTGTAATATACAAGTAATAAATGTTCTAATAAAATGTCTGGAATGTCTCTATTTGTAGTGAGAGTTATCTGTTCTCTACATGATCTTTTGATAGATAGGTGATGAAACATACAAACACTGCAGCAGCACCGTCATCAGCTGGTCAAAATCTGAATGTTTTGAAAGGACTTCTCATGCACACAGTGTTGCTTATATTAGCATTGGAAAGAAACAGCCAGTGAAAATCCACAAGGTTAGAACGTTGACCCTACAATTGTGGTACCGCATTCACAGACTTCAGAGGTCTTATCTACGGCACCCATCCCCCACAAGTTATAACAGAATATTGTCTATTACTATTTATAATAACATATCCAAGTTTATTTACTGACCTCTACAATAGCACCATCTGGAAGGCGTAGAAAATGGCGATATAATTCTCTCAGGCCATCTAGATGTAATGTATGTATTGAAACATGGGTGGTGATCTCTTTCTTTCCTTCTTTCTTCTCAACTCTTTCTATTCCCTGTTCATCCCAAATACTTTCTTCTACCTGGTTAAATACAAATAAAGTTTCCATTTTTAAACAATATGGTAACCGATAGCAACATAACATGGACTGATTCTTTAATTACTGACTAGTAGCTAACCAAGATGTAATCTTGTCAACAATGAGCACCAATCTTAGTGATCAGTATCTAAATGTAGTTACAACCACTAACTATTTGCGGGTGCGTAGGTTTCTTTAGCAGTGGAGGAAACAGGCAACCCGGAGAAAACCCACAAAGTTAGGCAGGTGACCCTACTCCTTGTCACTTGACTAAATTACAGACCTTTTGATCTAAAGCGCACCAAAGCCCCACTCCATGAAACAAACTTTTTAAAAATTTCCATTGATCTCTGTGTGACTATAAAACCATGCAGTATACTGTGGGAGCCACGGTGGCTCAGTGTGTAAGACGTTGGCTGGCTAACCTGGAGGTCCCGTGTTCGATCCCGGTGTAGGCAGAGAAAGTTCATCAGGATTTTCCGGCGTGGTTCCCCCGTGTCAGTGGTGCAGAACGGAGGATCTGGCAAGGGACAATATATAGTCATTCAGATCGATGGGACGAAAAACGAAGTCCCGTGTACACATTGGTGTGCCCGTAAAAGATCCCTTGGCTGATGGAATTCGATATAAGTGTAGGCCATGGCACAGCTGTCCTGGCAAAATTTCCCTCATAGCCCACTGTATGGCGTTATGCCCGGAGCAGAACAGTAGGATGTTAAATGCCATTTCTTTTCATTATTGTTTTACTGTTACTGTAGATAAATAAGGAATTATTAAATACATCAATAGGTTTTGTAAACCTACCTCATCTTCCTCCCAAATATAATCATACACCGCAATCTTTCTTCTTTCACCTTCTTCACCACGCCATTTCTCGGCTTTACGACATATATAACATAGTTCTTGATTCGACATCTCTAAATCATATGGCACAAAGAAAAAATCTTCTTCACCATGTAGCCTCCAGAATATATCCAACATTCTGCCATTGTTATGTAATCTATCAATATAATATAAAGAAAATCTATACTATCAAGACTTTGTTATAGTCAGAAAAACATGTCTGGAACGAATTCTGATATTTCAGTCTGTTACCGGTAGAGTCTATTATTTATTATATAATGGTAGCCTACTATTACATTAATAGTACCAGCATGTAATAAATAATATCCAAGACAGCAACAAATGAACTCCTTACTAAAAGCTATAAGTACATTAAATAAGTGAAGAATCTCTGATTGAATGGCAGTGATACCAATGGGGTAGAAAGAACAAGATCCTTCAAAAATCATCAGATGATAAAGGCTGGATTAAACTATTTTACTTTTTTCTGTTGCTTGGGGACTACTACCGATGGACAATTTACAAATTAGACGACATATAATCAATTTACGTTGGATGAAGATGAAAAAAAAAATACAATGAAAACTTAAAATGCAGGTTCACCTTGGTCGAATGTTTTTCAGAATTTAGCATTGACTCATCTTCAAATTATTTTCTGATTGTTTTTCCAAAGAAAAAAAAATTAAATGACATCTGCACTGATGTAAGGTGAATATTTGTAAAATTCTTAATTTTATGGTATCTAAAATGATTGACAATAAATTCTTAGCTGGTCATTTCATTTTCCAATTGTCAGGACTGGTCAATATACTTCAAATGATATGCTTTCATTTAAGATCAAGAGAAATTAATTAACCCTATATTTACCTTAAAAAGTACATATAAAGAATGGCACCAGTCAGAAGTCCAATAAAAGAATAAAGGAACAGGGTGATAAAAAGTCCTGCTAGGCCCGAACCCTGAGAACGATCAAAATGCCACCATAGTTTAGCGAAATCGGCAATTGGTTTTGTTGATTGGTCCTGGTACCTCTGTAAGTCAAATAAAAAAGGAGAATTTATTAACTGAAAATAACAAAAAGGGGATTTCAAAAGATTGTGTACTTGTTAAACCTTGTTGACATTTCCAAAATGGAATATAAGCAGACCAAAATGGCCATAAAGAGAGACAGTGGCTTGATGGGCATGGTGCTGCATCACTAACCAGGAATTACCAGGTTCAATTCCAGTGTTGGACAAGAAAGTTTCTCTGGATTTTCCAGCCTGGTTTCCTCTTGTTAGTGTTGCAGGAAAAGGAATATAGTAGTTAGGATGGGACTAAAAAATTACAAGGTCCCACATATACCATTGGCAGCATGTTAAAGATCCCATGATAGCTTGGAATATCCTTCATAGCACACCGCATGGTGTTTGCCTTTTTTCATTAGCTCGGTTGGTGCAGCTATATAAGTAGGACGTTAAAGTCAATTTCATTTCCTTAATGGTACACTATAGTAACAATGAAATGAAATGGGCTTAAATGTCCTACTGTTCTGCTCCGACTGGGCAATTGAAGACGGGCATACACCATACAGTGTGCTACAGCATACTCTTATATCGAATTCCAACTGCCATGGGATCTTTTACATGCATGCCAATGTGTAGGCTACAAGGCACCTTTTTGTCCCATCTGAATGACTAGACAGCTGTCTTTGTCAGGTCCTCCGTACTGCACCACTGTCAAGGGGAAACCTCGCAGGAAAGCCCTGATGAACTTTCGCGGCCAGCATGTGCAACGGGAGCAAACCTGTGACCTCCAGGCTAGCAAGCCAGAATCTTACTCACATAGCCACCATGGCTTTCACTAAAGTGACATATGGTGACCAGGAGTTCCACATATAACTGTGCAGTATCACTTTTGGGAGCGAACAGTGTAAACATCTGAATCTATATAAACCCAGCTTACGGCATCTCGATAAAAAAAAATATGTTTCACTATTTACTTACCAACAGACTACAGTCAACAATCAAAATTAAAAGTGGATTAAGGAAAGTCATCAAACCAAACGATAGCACAAACTTCGAAAACAGGTCTGGGAAAAGACCAAATAATTTTGGACTAATCCAAGCGAAGATAACCATTAACGTAAAGATAAGAATATTCAACATAGGTCCCAGTATCACTACACCAATCTCTTCTCTTGCTCTTAGTAGTGTAGGCTGATAGTTCAAGTCTACTGTATATGGATAGAAGTCAAATCTGTAATAAATAAACGTCTGATGGTAAGAGGCTATAAGCTAAAAATACAAATTTGGCATTGTAATATTCTTTTTGTTTTTTTTGCCAATTCTCTTTTACACACAGCAGATAATAATGTATGGGCTGTATACACTGTCTTTTCAAACAGCACACTATATCTAAGGCTACTAATTAAATTTATTGTTCTGTTTTCAAGCTTTGTCTATTACACACTGTGATAATAAATCTTTGTAGACAATAGATCAGAGGCTCTGGAACTTCTGAGTGGTGGGGGGGGGATAGGATTTACATCAAGCAATATTTTAAATTCTGGCACAGAAACGATGAAATCTGACGTTTTCGGGCCCACGTTTACCATACAGACCCCATCAACTAAGAACACTTAGATACAAGAATCGACTTGGTGCACTTTGTCATATACATATCGAACACAATTCTCGAATCCAAGGTTTCATCTCAAAGAGTGACCCAACTGAACCATCTCTGCACAAAGGCTTGTCAAGATGTATTGCTGAAATACATTTCAAAGAACAGCTCGCAAAAATGTAAAGACAGAGGGGCAATTGCCCAGTACTTTAGAGAACAGGGGGCAGTTGCTCCCATAGCCCCACCATTCCCGCGCCCTTGTAATAGATTGTACTTACTTGTTAATAGGAATCTCAATGGCATTGAGGAACAGCCACTGACCGAAATAATGAGCAAACATTCGAATAAAGAAAATGATAAGAAAAAGAAGCAGCATTCCCCAAAATTCCCTGCTACGCCATTGAGATAAACCAATCTCAGCTAAGAACTGTCGAGCTATATAGTTTAACTTTTCACGACCAGCATGAGCCAGACGTCCTTTCCCACTATATGGTAACCTGTAACAAAGAACAGAGAAGATTGTAGTCTATATCTATACTAATATTTGTAACTGTCGTTTGTCTGTCTGTCTGTCTGTTCAGGGTTGGTGGCTACACTAGGGCTGTCCCGAGGCTGACAATTGGTGTAATGGGGTACCTCTGATCGGAGAGTAACATAGGCCTATTGGCGATGGACTCCCACTTCTGGTTTTGGAGTGATGCTACTTGCGGTTCATGGTTATAACTGTGCTCCACTGTAGTCAATTGCTAGGTAATTATTATTTTGTAACCTAATTCTATAAAGGTTCATCAAATAACTCCACACTATGATTAGGAAATAATCAAACAGTAAAATTTGTGTTACAGATATAAAGTTAATTTAAGTGTGAGTATTAGTAGATCCCCCTTGATTTGTTTTTATTATGCTCTAGACTGTTTGATCGAAACAAATCTGTATTTTCTTCCTGGTCAAATTAAAAAAATAATCCCTGATGCCACACAATATGAATACAATGTATAACCCTGAACTCAAAGATGACCAATACCAACATGAAACATCTCGAATGTAAATATAGGAGGCCTGATTTGGATGTGAACCTATTACATGCACACCCTAAAATCGTATGTTTATATTGTAATGTACATATGTTTACAAACAAGGCAAAAGGTGGGGAAAGGGAATATTCCACAGAAACCCCTTACTACTGAACGTTAAACCCCTTTTATCTCCCTCTCTCCTTTCTCCCAAGATTCAAAATTCCTTCATAGCACACTGTTGGTGTATGCCCTTCTTCATTAGCTCAGTCAGTGCAAAAAAAAGAGAGAGAGAGAAACAGAGTTTAACGTCCACTCGACACAAACCAGGTCTTTTCGGGACTAACATATGGTTCAATTTTATTTCAATAATTTCCTTGAGTATAGGGGTCTTTAGCAGTGAGAGGAAACCGGAGGACCCGGAGAAAACCCGTGAGGTTGGACAGTTAAAAAAAGATGGATGTTAAACCCCATTACTTTACATTTCTCTCAAGAGACACATTCCAACTAAACTGATCATCAGAGATTTATTTTTTTACTTACTTGACAGAGAAGGTATGTTCTTCTAGTTCCTCTACATGTGTCAGTTTTTTCTTCTTCTGTCTGGGAGCTAGGACTTGCGTCTGTGGTAACATGGTGTACAGTCTCTTAAAATAACTGTCAGCGGGGTTACTACGGTAATGCTATAAACATAAACAAATACACTATATTTTATAATTTTCTATGATATAATTTAATATCTGAATATTTCACTGTTGCATCCTGGAGACTAGGCTAAATTATTTTTAAAACTAAGCAGAATTTTGTATGGACACTTACCAACAGCTAATCTATTCAAATTAAAGTAAAACATTTTCCAACTGTATACTTAAAGTCCTCCATTGGGCCAAACCAAATTATTTTTTATTCTTTGGGGTCTTGGTAAATAAATAACCCCTTGAATCTTATGAGTGATGCTTTGTTTAAATTCCATAACTTAAAACTTTGAAAGCATGCACTGATTTTTCCCACAAAATAGAAGGCCAACAGTTAACATGGGTGATAAAATGGTCAATAATCACTCATGTAACTAAGAAATGTCACCCACATCCTACATGCCCCATTTTCTGTATAGACGCAACCAATCATCATTAGAGAATCAAATTCAAGGCAGAAAGTGTATGAATTTTATGACTGATTACTTGCTGATTTTTCTTTGGATGATCAGCAGAATTCAATTCACATAGAATCTGATATTACTATCATTACCTTATAATAAACTCCTGGCAATGTTTTATGTGGTTTAAAAGTTTGTTGTCGTTTAATAGCTAGTACATCATCTGATTCATCTGTATCATCATCTGTAAACTCATCATCATGTTTCTTTAAATCTTTCTGTATAATTCTAGATACAACATTAGTACTGGTTGATCTAGCCCCAGATTTTCCTTTCTGTAAGATATAGAACTTTTCAGTCATCTTTGTTTTTAAAAAAATTGGGAGAATTAACAACGGCTGTTTATTGAATAGACTATCAAACAGTATTTTTTTTATAAACCAATGATGAAGAACTAGTAGTTAAAGCCACTGATTAACAACTATTTTTTTTATCTCTTGCAAATTATAATATACTTTTCAAACAAAGTAGGGGATATTCAGAAACAATACAAAACTGCGGAAATGCACTGCTGTTTTTATTAGAGGTAACCAGTGTATGTTAATAATATAATGTATCTTTAATCCAACTGAACCCAAGCTGGGAGATTAGGCCCTATGTACTGTTGTTTTATTTTGGTCTTGTTTTCTAAGTTACATTTTAGCCTGGATTAACTCATGAAAATTTAATGAATAATTGGGACCAATTAATAAATTTCCAATAAATTTACCGGTTTATTAAGTTTTATTTTGGAAGTTGTAGCATCTGATCTGTTGACAGTTTCACTTGTGCTGGCTTCTCCACTGTTGATACTTATACTAGATGTACTGTAATATAACATTAACTCTATTATATAACTAGATATACTGTAATTAACTCAATATAAACTCTATTATCTTTTATTTAACTAGATGTACTGTAACATAACATAAACTCTATTATATAACTAGATATACTGTAATTAACTCAATATAACTCTATTATATAACTAGATGTACTGTAATGTAAACTCTATATCTGTAATATAATATAAACCCTAGGCTATTACATAACTAGATGTACTGTAATATAATATAAACCCTAGGCTATTACATAACTAGATGTACTGTAATATAATATAAACCCTATTACATAACTAGATGTACTGTAATATAATATAAACCCTATTATATAACTAGATGTACTGTAATATAACACAAACTCTGTTATATAAATAGATGTAATATATAATATAATATAATATAAACTCTATTAACTACACTCAAATAACCTTTGTGACAAAACCATAATTCATAATTGCCATAGGTAAAGATGTGTGATGTATCAATTCTGGTAAGGATAAACTTCTTATGCTCAAAACTTGACACTATTTGTAAAGGCTGTTGTCCACTAAGCACATTTTGCAAGACAGCTTCAAGTCAGTGTACTGAGTGTAGGTCATTTTACCATCCTTTAATGTCTAATCTGTTCTCAACAGTTGCTTAGTGTGTAATGAACAATATCAGTGCACTAATTTAATTCTAGTTTTTCTACATAAAACTTTTATCAGCCTTGAAGCAGTTTGTGATTCAGTGGCTGTTCTGTTATAGTTATAGACTTGCAAAGTCAAGTCACTGAAGAATAAAAGTTGAAGAATAAAACTAACCTAGGACCATGCAAACTGTCTGTACCGGTACTGAGATCAGACACTGATCCAGGAACAGGATCCTCTCCATCCCGGTTCTCGTCCCACCCTGTTTTAATTCTATCAGGATAACTGGTTAAACTTGAAGTAAACTGTAATTCTACTTCATATTCATTCTGACCAGCTAAATATCTGTAACAAAACATTATAATAAAACAAATATTCATTTAATGAATTCTAACAAAATTATCATTTCTTTGTTTAGTGCTAAGAATGTTGATGTACCTTACAATAAGACAGATTTTGAACTCTAAGCTATCCGAAGCAGGTCTCATTCATTAAAATGTAACTCAAACAACTATCTTCCATAAAAGATGAAAACTAACCTGGGTAATTTGAGTACTTCAAAATAAAGATTAGACATCCAGTGATCAATATCTGAAGCCATTAATTCTTCCAATTTTTCATGTTTATCAATATCAGGATCCATTTCTCCTCTTAACATGCTGCACTTATACCTTTAAGAAATATAAAGAGAATCTCTTGTTAATTCATATCATAAAGAGAGAGAGAGAAATGGGGTTTAACATCCACTCGACACATGCTAGGTCATTTCGGGATTAATATATGGTTCAATTTTATTTACATAATTCAAATGGGTGTAGGGGTCTTTAGCAGTGGGGGAAACCAAAGGACCCAGGGAAAACCCACGATGTTAGACAGGTGACCCTACTCCTTGTCACGGACAACGGCGAACTGAAATAGTTACTACCGTTCTATGGTTACTACCACATGTTTAATGCAAAGGGAGAATTCTGCCAAGACAGCAACAGTACATCCAACTTCAATTCGTAGGGGATCTTTGGTGCATCAGTAATTTGTACACCAGGCTATAACACTTTCCTGCAACTTATCTAGAACAGTGGGAAACAATGTAAAAAAAATCATGAACTTTTGATAATACTTTAATACTTTTTACTTGACAAATTTCTTTTGGCGCCCATCTCTCAAAATTAATTTGTTAAAAATGAACAGAAACCTTTGATGTTATTCATAATTTTACTCACTTTCCTTCAATGACATCAAAACTACCATCACATACAGGAAAACATCCCCACGATATGACACGATCTGTTGGTACGACTGATCCTCGTAATAAAAACAGTTCAAACACTAACATCATACCAGGTCGTAAAGAAGCTTTAGCTGGTAAAACTGTAAACAAACTTTGATCAATCTGTCAAAATAAACAAAGAAGATCAAAAAATTTGAATTTAAACATTACACATTTGACATAAACTAAGTACAGTGTACCCTGCTTTTATTTAAAAGGGTCTTTTTTATGTATTTTCCGTTTGGACGATTTTTTCATAATCCTAATACAAATCTGACTTGAGAAACCAGTTAAATTGATCAAAATATTTTCTATCTAGTAATCATGAAGAAAATCTAAAAAATTGTGATATTGGATCAATTTACCTTTAAATAAAATAAAATGAAATGCGATGAAATATGGTTTAAAGAAAAACATACCTTTAACTCTGTGTTGTGAAAGTTTCCTTCATGAAACATTGGTAATGTTGCCCCACCCCATTTCTGACCTTTCAACTTTGACCAGCGCATAGTATGACCCCCAAGTCTGTTATATATTGACACCATCATAACATATCTTCCCGCTTAAAAAACATAAACAACCAAATGTATACAAAACATTGTCTTAGGATCAACAGAACTATAATTTTTACTGTAAGTTCATGAAGCTAAGATCTTTTGTACATTTTATTCCTTTACTGTTTGTTCTGTCTGTATTTTATTGTGCAATTTTAAGACATCGTTTTTTGATCATTCATTAATCCTCAGAAACCTTGTATAATTATTGTCAGATGAACCCTGAGTTATTTCCCTTTAGTCTTCAAGCAATCGTGTCTACTGGTTATGAAATTTTGTCCTCTGGGACTTTCTACGGTCTAAATTTTTCTCGAAGAACTTCTAGAAATGCAACACCAACATATCACGTATTTTTAGATGGTTGGGGCAGGAGTGATGTGTCCAAAAAGTGCCGGTCAATGCTAAGTTTTGTAACATTTATCAAAAATTCTGATTTTTGGTGTATTTACCTGGTAATTTATCTTTAACACCACGTAAACATTTTAAATTTATCTGTATTGGCTGTGGAGTTCTGTTCCAATCAACTTTCCACCTTCGACCTTTTGACCCTCCATAATGACCATCTTCTAACATCAAATCACCATATAAAGTCTGAAACAATTAAAAACAAATAATATGAAATTTCTGAAATAAATTATCAAATAACAAAAAAGTATTTTCACTTCATACTTTTGCATTTCATGGTAAAAGTAAAAAATAACGTTACAAAGTTGATTGATTATCTGATCTTACCTTGACCTCTCCTTTGCGTTTTTCCAATGTTCCAATCAGCTGACTTTCTGCTCTACGGAAAGCCTTGTGTATATGATCTAACATTAACTTCTCACGTTGTCTCAATAATTCCTATAGAAAACAAATATTTTATAAAATTTATTTTAAAACCACTTAGATAATAGTTAAGATTGGTCAAATTCTATCTGCCCCATTGCCACCCTCATGATTTTAAAAAAAAAATTACTGCCTTCAAATTATAGTTTTATATTTTCCGAAATTTTATTTCAAAAGTCCATAAATGTATGCAAGTTTTTCATAATACATATATTGCAATACTATCTGGTGGTATTGCAATATGTTTGCAACACAATTCTGGCTGCAACACATGTACGTAATGCTTTTCTTGGACTAAGATATTGTTATTTCTATGATCAGAAGAAGAAAATGAAATGAAATGAAATGGGGTTTAACGTCCTACTGTTCTGCTTCTACTGGGTTAATGAAGACGGGCATATGCCATGCAGTGTTTTATTAGGAAAATTTTGCCTGGACAGCTGCGCTACGGTCTCCTCTTTATTTTGAATTCCAACTGTCAATGGTTCTTTTACGTGCACGCCAATGTGTACACAGGACCTTGGTTTTTCATCCCATCCAAATAACTATACGTTGACCCTTGCCAGGCCATCCATCCTACATCACTGACAAGGGGGAAAACCACGTCTGAAAATCCTGATGAACATTCTCAGCCATCATAGGGCTTAAACACGGGACCACCAGGTCAGCGGGCCAACATCCTACTCACTGAGCCACTGTGGCTCCCGAAGAATATGACTACCGTACATCCAGACAGCATGATATTTAACTCACCTCACGTCTAGCTATATCAGCTCTTTTATCTTTAACAAACTTGGCTGTTCGTGTTTTTGCTTCTTCCTCACGATGTAATAAATGTTCTTCTCTTTGTCGTGCTAACAACGACTCTTGTTCTAAATATAGAACATGTTCATCTCTCAGTCTCCTTTCCTCCTCCTGGATTTCCTCCAATGGAATCTTTCCTAACATCACCACGTCATCTTTTACTCCAGTATCAAAGCGAGATACATATTGTTTTAGCTCGTCATCTTCAATCTGTAGACGTAACTCTAAAAATACAAATGGCTACACTGTTTATACCAAACCAACAATATGTATGGTTTAGTGGTCGAGAGTGAGACATTAAGTAATATATTGACACTGTTTCAATATACTACATAATGTCTTTAGCTCGAGACCATTAAACAACTTAAAATACAGACACTATCCCGCACGTGCTTTTCAATGAAATGCATCATGTGAGTCCAATATTTCATCTAGTATCGATAATGTACGATTGGCAAGTTGCCCATACATCCATGACGTCACATCTTTATTTTAAGTATAGAAAAAGCTTATATTCATGCCAATTTGGTACATTCTTTCAATATCAAGCATAAGTTGCCAGGTATCAAAACACAAGCTCATCAGCAACTCAATTGAATACGTCCTTTTAATAGGATGAATAGACATCCAATATACATTTTTTCAGAAAGATAGGTTAGTAATTGCAGCCTTTAAGTTTTAACAAGATTTAATAATAAAGGTACATTACTCTGGTAGTGATTATCTAAAAATATTGAAAATCAAGACTTCTTCGTTTCAATGAGATAAACAACCTATATCAATTTCAAAAAGATATATGGATTATTGCAGCTTCTATTGTACTAACAAGAAATATGAGCAAGAGTTGTACAGACAGAGGTGACAGCAGTATGACAATTTTAAATGAAATGAAATGGGGTTTAACGTCCTACTGTTCTGCTCCGACTGTGCTATGAAGACGGACAGCAGCACTATGGCCTGATCTTATATCGAATTCAAACCGACAAGGTTTTTTTTTATGTGCACGCCAATGTGTCACGGGACCTCAGTTTTTCATCCCATCCAAACGACTATACGTTGCCTAATGCCAGGACCTTCGTCCTGCACCACTGTATGTACACGGGGCCTCGGTTTCGTTCCATCCGTAAGACTATACGTTGTTCCTTGCCAGGCCTTCTGCCCTGCATCACTGACAAGGGGGAACCACGCCGGAAAATCCCGATGAACTTTCTCGGTCAATGCAGGGATCGAACGGAGGACCTCCAGGTTAGCGAGCCAGTGTCTTACTCATTGAGCCACTGTGGCTCCCAACAGTTTTAAAATGCAGGAGTATAAAAACTAACATTCAATCACAATCAGTAAATTGCATACGATTTGCACAAATTCAACCTACCTGATATTCTTGTATAATTTGGGATGTGCTCGGGTATTGCAAATAAAGATGGTGGATTCTTTTTCGTCACAAGTTCACCATCACCTTCTTCTAATGTAGCCAATAAATTATACAGATCTGGTAGGTCAGTTTGAGGTGGCGGTTCTGAAAACAAAAATAAGTCCCAAAGTCAAATATTATTCAATCTGTGATATCTTTTTGTTATAAATTGAAGAATAACAATTTACAACTTACAATATCAATGAAAATCATAATCAAATATCATATAATATCAATGAGCCTCAGATGAATGAGACATGGAATGTTCTGCACCGACTGGGCTAGTGAAGATGGGTATACGCCATACAGCGGCGTTCTGTGAGGGATATTTTGCCCGGGGAGCAGCACTGCGCCCTACTCTTATATCGAATTCAAACTTTGAAGGGTTCTTTTATGTGCGCACACCAATGCGTACACAGGACTTCGGGTTTTTTTCGTCCCTGCTGAATGACTATACGTTTGTCCCTTGCCAGGCCCTGTTGTCCTGCATCACTGATAAAAGGGAACCACGTCATAAAATCTCGATGAACTTTCTCGTTCAAAGATGAAAGAGAGGTGAAAGATTTTTACCGTAAATAAAATCAGATGGTAGATCATCTTCGTTGACTTGTAAACCGTAATCTTCTGGGTTGATGTTAGAAAAATCTATTGATTCTGTTTCTATTGTCTGTAATTATACAATAAAATATCATACAACATTGTGGATAAAATACATAACACACAGAAATTGATCACCGTTATAGGATGCTACAGATTTAGGCTGACGTGAGTACATATTGTCTGGGCGACCTTCGGATGTAGACTGTAGTTGCGACTATAGTCTGAACTATCCCGACTGTGCTCTATCATATGGTATGGCTGGTCACAACCACAGGTTGAACTATAGTGCGAAAATCCGTGCAACCGAAGGTCACCCTGATGTCTAACTGCATAACCAAAGATTGGCTTGTCATTTCATGAGACATGTCAAGTCCAGGTATATTAAAACAAGGGTGGGATTGATCAAGAGATCGAACACGAGTGCTTTAGATCACAAGGTTTCGATCCCACGCTTGTAAGTTGCCTGCCTAATGGTGGATTTAATCCAGGTTCTCTGATTACTGCCCACTGCTAATTATTGAAATAAAATTGTACCATATGTTAGTGTTAGTTAGAAAATGACATAGTTTGTTTTGAGAGGACATTGAACACAATTTTTCTCTGTCCCAAATATAAAATACATACCTCTGTTGTTTTAATTGTTTCTTGTGTTTCTATTTGTGGTATATCTATATTGGTTTCCTCACGGATTGGTTTAATCATATCCTCTGTATTTTCAGCTTGTAGAGTTGTGTCTTTCTTCTCCCCTGCTTCCCCTGCCTCCTCCTCAAGATCCACAGTTACAGATGGTCCATCCATATCTAATCTGGTTTCTGGAGAAACAGAAGAAAATAACCCAAAATATTCCAATAGACTATAAAGGGACAACATTCCGGTACGATGAATTGAGAGGTTGTGAATGGGGGGGGGGGTGTGTTTCACCAGTCAACTTGCATGCAAAGATTGGTTACAATTAATAAAGGTGCTTCCCCAGATAAATAAATCTGGTTAATTTAGTGAGAGCAACTCTAGCAAGCCCTTCTCTCAATCCTGTGATACTATCCGTATGGGTTTGATCTTGAGTCCCATGCACAAACCCAATCTGTTTCACAGAGATCTTCTAATATCTCTGTAACAGATGACTGTTTCGATACGTGACGTAACATCACACAGCGTCAATCATTGGCTCAATAGCGCGTGCATTGTTTACATAAGACGTTACTGATTCAGGGCTAAATGGTGAATTTTACTTATCTTAATACACATTTACACTAAATAGGAAATGATTTTTACCTACAAATAATTCAAGCCTCTTTATTTATTTTTCTAATAAATGAAAAAAATGTTTTAGAATTTAATTTGACGGAAGAAAAATGTTAATATTTGGGACTCATTAAGTTGCATCGATGTCATCCTTATCAGTGATTGTAGCGGCCTAGCGAAAATTCACTGCTGATCAGTGTGGCACAAACCATGTCATTTCAGGACTAACGTATGGTACAATCCTATTTCAAACACCTTACCTTGAGTTGGTGATGAAGTCACTGATGAAGTCACTGATGAAGTCAGTGATGAAGATGTGGCTTGTGTTGGGGGTGGTGATGAAGTTGTTGCTTCTTGTGGTGGGGGTGATGAAGAAGATGCTCCTTGTTGTGTCTCAGTTTCATCGTCAGGTTTATCAACAACAGCAGGTTTCTCTTTATTAACAGAAGTTTTTCTTTTTACTGAAATTATTGTATAAGTTTATCAAAACAAACTGGGTGAAAAAAGTATAAGTTTATTCTGATATATAACATTACTACTATTCCAACAAAGATAATTTGATGATGACAATAACATAAATTATATTCTGTGATCAACTTTTCTTAAGAGAGAGAGAAATGGGATTTAACGTCCACTCAACACAAACTAGGTCATTTCAGGACTAACATATGGGAGGAAACCGGAAGACCCAGAGAAAACTCACGAGGTTGGACAGGCGACCCTACTCCTTGTTATGTACAACCGGGGAATCGAAACCACGGCAGTTGACTCAATGGCAGACCTTATGATACAGCACGCGCGTACTAACCATTCGGCCATCCATCCCCCCCCCCCCAAACACACACACACGCACACCACCGAGAAATTAAAATAAATAAAGATAAAATAATTAAATTCTTAAAAAGCTATAAAATTAACAGCTCACCTTTACCCTTTCCTTTCTTTCCTTGTTTTTCCATTATTGTTGTACAGTGTCTACAAGAATAAACAAAGGATATTTAGGACTGGTCACATGTATGTTGCAGGCATCTTATTTTAGATGTGGCACAAATCATGTAAAATAGAACTTTTCGTCGATTTTATGTTTTCCGCATATATTTATTAGTCTCAAAAAGGGTAAAAACTAATCAGTGTTTTGTTCACCAGTAAATAATTTTATACACTGAATTGAATTGTTGACATTTGGTCTATGTGTCGTGAACCATTCAGTGTATAAATTTACTGTCAAACAAAACACCCGAGCACACAGAAGCCTATAAATAATTTCAATGGTGTAGTTTCTAATTCTATTAGGCTATTTTAGTTTTATCTCATGATTACGGGGTTTTTTTTCGGTTTATTTTTTAGAATCTGGCGACGACAAGTGCAGGCTACCTTGCATTAAATGAAATAAAATCACATAGGGTTAACTATTACCTTTAATACGTCCTAAAATTCAATTTAAATCCCGTTATGTTTTGAGTGGGTTTGTTATCTGTGTTTACGGTTCACTTGCCGTTAAACAAGCACCTGCTTGTTGTGGTCGCCATTTAAAATGTTTCCCTAGTAACGATGACGTGTGAATTATAAAGGATAACTCTCATTTACCGTTACACGAAAGAGGTATCAGACTAGTTAGTAATAATTCGCGGGGAGGGGTGGTGGGTACTAAATAAAATAAATATTACCGATATGTTAGGCCTATCGCGTGGCATAAATGTGTTACTTTTGATAGTTTGACTTTGGACATCGCAATATAACGGAGTAAAACCGTTTTCTATAGTGCTGTTATCCCATTCTTCTGGCGATTTATTGGATTATAAATAATAGACTATAATGTGAATTTAGATGTTATTAAAAAAAACAAACTAATTTGCCCGAAGAACTAGTCGTTGGAATGGAATCGGGGAGCATTATTCAAGAGCTATAGGCCCTATACCTGCCTTTCTTTAAGTCTTAAATGAAGTAATTTTTCTGAAATTTTCAACAAATTCCCTTTTCGTTACACATCTTTTAACCATTATAATGAAAACTGCCAGCTCTTTGTCTAAATCTTACATAATGCATGTTAGAATTTATCTGGCTGTCGCCTGCAATTTGAACGGTGTTCGCTCAATTACCGCATTGGCCGAGAAAGTTCATCGGAATTTTCCAATATGGTTTCCCCTTGTCAGTGGTGCAGGACGGAGGGCCTGGCAAGGACAGTTGTCTAGTCGTTCGGATGGAACAAAAACCGGGGTCACGTATATATTGGCATGCACGTAAAGATCTCTCGATGTAAGAGTAGGCCATAGCGCCGCTGCCAAGGCAAAATTTTCTCCCACTGCTAAAGACCCCAACGCGCAAACGGATTATTGAAATAAAATTGAACCATGTGTTAGTCCCGAAATGACCTAGTTTGTGTCGAGTGGACGTTAACCCCCCCCCCTCTCTCTCTCTCTCTCTCTCTCTCATTGGTTCGATATTACACGAGTGGAACCAGAGCAGACAGAGCCGGCGGAAGCAATTCTTGATTGGGGGGGCTTCCATCCTAGGTCCTTATAAGCGTGGGTCCAGGGGCCGCAATAACCTGGAGAAAAGAGTAGTTACGGCCAAATTATTGGGGGGGGGGGCTAAAGCCTTTACACCTTGTTCATATCATTTGTCACTTTTATTACGCTTGAGTTTCTCACGCCGCTATATTCAAAACGACTATGTAGACATCGTTTATCTGGAATACATAATAACTTAGGTACGGGACCACTGATTTGATTTAGACATGCACCCTTCTAGAACCAGACCATCAAAGAGACTTAAAATAATATGATTTGTCTTTTAAATATTTTATGACCCGATAAGAACAGGCTTTGAAATAAATGTTATACGACAGTGGAATTGAATAGTAAATTTATTGATTTTTTAAGAGATATATTTACAATGCCACCACACCAAAACCATTGTAACATAGCATCCTAACTTTTGTTCTACTGTTGCATTTCTAGACTACCAGAATGAAAACAAGAACAATTTAAATTTTTAAATTTGTTGGTAAAATATTCGATTATTTGGAAAATCGAAGATTACATAAATGATATTGTTCCCAGATCTTGTTTAACCAAAATTAAATATTTATTCTTGCGTAATGTTATCAAGTCCTATACTAGTGTTGGTTACATATTTATATATATTATAGAAATAGACTAAGGCGATAAATCGTTAGCACGGCGTTACAATAATCATGCGATAATATCATATATTAATTTGCTTTGTCTTGTCTAGACAATTTATACCAGATTTGACATGGATGTGGTCGTCGCGTCAAATTTTCCCCAGATGCTTTCTATTACTTCAGCTATTCATATTTGATAGGCACCACTTCGTCCAAATATATTATGTCGGCCATCTTGGAGCTTCAAGATTTCCGCTGTGCATAAACCTGTAACTATCAGCAGTTCGGCTTCCAAACCTCTTAGGATCATAAGGGTCATAATCTTGGTGTCTAAACCTACATTTTCATCATTAATCGTCTATAATAATAAATGCAACGTAAAATGTTTGTGAATTGAAAAGGTTCGGATTTTTATAGCATTGGTTCCCTTGTCACTGGCAGTCAGTAAGACGCTGGCTCGCTAACTTGGTTCCGTGTTCGATCCGTGCATTGGCCGAGAAAGTTCATAGGGATTTTCCGGCGTGGTTCCCCCTTGTCAGTGTTGCAGGGCAGAGGGACTGATAAGGGACAACGTATAGTCTTACGGATGGGACGAAAAACCGAGGCCCCGTGGACATGCACATTTTTGCAGGCGTGCATGTAAACGATCCATGACAGTTGGAATTCGATATAAGAGTAGGCCGTAGTGCCGCTGTCCTCACAAAAATTACACTCCTAGCACACCGTATGGCATATGTCCGTCTTTATTAGCCCAGTCAGAGCAGAATAGTGGGACCTTAAACCCCATTTCATTTCCTTGTCGGTGATGCAGGACGTAGTGATTTGATTGATGGACCGTAAAACCGAGATCCCTTGGCAAAATTCCACTCACTGCAAGGAGTACCAAGTGATGAAATCGATTGATGCAAATTTTGCATGTAAAATACACCCCAGCGTAGAACCGTAATAATTTAATATCTTGAGGATATAAACAAAAACGATCAACACAAAAACATAAATTATTTGATAAAATGTCTTTAATTACACTTGTATTCTTTAAAACATATTTTTATATAATTTTACAGTCTAAAACCAAGATCTATTATAGCATCTATTATAACAGAGATCGTACATATCTATACTCCACCCTAATTACACTTTAATGATGCATTATGTAAGATTTTGATAAAGAGCTGGTCTTCTAAATATAATAGTTTAAAAATAGATAATAAAAAGTGAATATATTGAAAATTTCCGTCATATTACTTTATTCTGAACGATGTTAAGAATGTTTTCGGGCGCTTGATTTTCCATTTGATCGTTAACCGATTAAAAAACACAAATGGTCTAATCCAATTAATATCCAAGCCATTCGATGACCTAGAGAGTTGATTATGGGCTTTTCATGTGATTAATTGTCTGAATAATTTAAATAACATTTGAAGCCAGAAAAAGACCTTCAATAGGCAAATTCAGCGCTTGCATAATGCATCTTTAAAACATTTTTTTAAATATACGTTTATAGTCTAAACTCTAGATTTCTTATAACATTTATATATAAAAGAGAAGGTACATGTGTATACCCTATCCTCTTAACTGAAGCTTCTCTTTTATCAGGATTATCAGGATCTTATCGGTTGCGTAGAATTCAGTGCAGACGACCTTGAATGTATAAAACGGTGTGACGAAGAATTACGTATTCAAGAGAGAGAGAGAGAGAGAGAGAGAGGGGAGAGATGGGGGTTTAACGTCCACTCGACACAAACTAGGTCATTTAGGGACTAAGTATTCAAGACAGTGCATGCTCACACTTTCAAGAACAAGAAAGTCTGACACAACTGCTCAGTTATCTGCGAAGTTTGCATCGCTTACAGTTGCGCTGTACACTTATGGGGCCAGTGGCGTTTCGACGATATGGCAGGTAAGGCATGTGGCCTGGTGCCACTTAGTGAAACTGAAATTTCATTTTTTAATAAAACTGACTTTCATCATATCACAGACTAATTTGCTTCAGTGAAAGCAAGGAAGGCGCACTTGTAATGTTCATGTCGTCTCATAATTTGGTAGTTAAAGATACATTATGGGAGATTCGATAACGAGTTGGCAGTTGTCACTATAATAGTTAAAAACTAGATAATGTAAAGGCAATTTGCTGAAAATTTCATTCAAATTGATCCACTATGAACCGAGAACAAAGCGATTAAATTTCCGCCTAGCCTTGATCATCATTACTAAAGTCAGTACGATCAACAGCATAGTCTCGATTAACCACTTTAAATCGTGAATGAAAATTATGCAGTCAATCGGCTCACAATCCACTAAAGATCGCAGGCTAGCGATGCCTTCTATATAGTTGATTATGGTCTGGATAAGTTAATTAATGCCTAATTAATAATTTAGATAACATTTCAGGCCTAAAAACGACCAGCAATAGACAAATTTAGCTCTTACATAATGTATGTTTAATAGATTAACGAAACTGACTTATACTTTTGAGCTTATTTTATGCTAAACTTATCAAAAGAAATAGGTGTGTCAATTGTTTAGACAGGTATGCAATTTCTGTGCTTGACATAGGTGGTATTTACCGCAGATACGCAACTGTATGAGGCAGTGATCACTGACAAATGCGATGTACGCACTTGAGGCATTTACGAAAACGTAATGCACGGGTATGTGGCAGAAACCGCCAACAGTTGTGTTGTAGAGTATCATGAGACACTCTAATAGTTGTGCTGTAGGCGTACGAGTCCCACTAATAGTTGTTCTATACGCGTACAAGGCACGCTAATTGTTGTGATGTAGGCGTACGCTAATTGTTGATATGTACTCACATGAGGCACGCTATACTTGTGATGTACCCGTGGGGGGGGGGGGCGCTAATAGTTGGTGCGTACGCGTATGAGGCGCGCTAATAGTTGGGATGGGGTGCATGTTTGCTTAAATAATGAACTGTTAAAATTTTGTAAGCGTATAATGTACATCTAGATTAACAATGCGATTGTTGGGACCTACAGTATCACAGTGAGCTGTTATTTTTGTATAATTATTTACAAATTTTACATATAATTTATTTACAGTTCTGATTAACACGTCCACGCCCTCCGTGAATCTAACTTATGTCAACAAAAATAGGCATTAAAAGTAAATAAACGATATTTTATCTAACTATTCCATCTCCGTGGAGCGTTTTAAACGATTATGCCCTCCAAGAAAGAGCCAAACCAACACAGATTATCCAATGACCTAAATCACCCAGCACACTAAAAACTCTTAATCGTGGAATAAAAATTACTGTTTTATTTACATGTAATTCCGGAATCCGGATATAGTTTTTAGTGTGTTACTGTTACTAAATGCCACTCAAAGAAGCATATGATGGTGATGATGACTTATTTATTTATTGATGTATTTTATTTATTTATTTGTAATGTAAATATGTAATATATACTTGTACATAATGTACATTTTAGTAATTGTATTTACATGGAGATGAATTTATATAAGCTTCGGCTTGTTTTCTAATCCATTACATCAGTGTTGTAAATAATCTTTATGTACTTGAAATAAAAATATTGTTTAAACTAAGAAGCATAACAAAGAGGTTTATCCATTAAAATTAATTTTGAAATCAGCCTTTGACCCAATTGAACATTATGTCTGTTGTAGGGTTTATATCAAAATGCCAAATTTTTAAAATCCACATATATGCAATGTTTTAAATTTGATTACTACCCCGTCTTTACAATAGTCAGGGGTAAACAGTGTGGCGGCGTATTTACCTTTAAACGCAATTTCGAAGCTTATGATTGGTTGCGGCCAGGGATGAGCGCACATGTATATCGTCATATCCTCATACTCGACGCCAAATAATAGCTTTTAATATTATAATCACAAAACTTTCCACGTGTGGTATTCAGAAATATTGCGGGGATACTCCATTAATGTTTTTAAAATGTTAAACACAGCACAATAAATCAAAATACACAAGCAATGATGTTGAGTGGGAAACACCTGTTATGGAAACAGTGATCTCATATTCGATGCCGATCCAAAAGCAGAAAGTGCCATCGTCTGCAGTTGTTTCTCCCGCTGTACTTGTTGTTCTCGTCTATACTCCACTGAAAAATACAATAAAATGAATTTTATTTCTGTCGAAATAAAGATAAAAAAAAAACGACAACGCAAAATGCCACATTTCAACCTGATATTATTGGGACATCGAATTACACACATTATACACATCTGCAATATCTTATGGAAATGAAATAAAATTGGGTTAAACGTCCTACTGTTCTGCCCCGAACTGGGCTAATGAAGACGGGCATACGCCATACAAAGTGCTATGATAGAAATTTTGCCCGGACAGCGGCACTACAGCCTATACCCTTATATCGAATTCCAACTGTCAAGGGATCTTTAACGTGCATGCCAATGTGTAGATGGGACCTCGGTTTTTCGTCCCATCCGAACGACTAGACAGCTGTCCTTGTCAGGACCCCCGTCCTGCATCACTGACAAGGAGGAACCATACCGGAAAATCTAGATGAACTTTCCCGGCCAATGCAGAGATCGAACAAATATCTCATGGTAATGTCCCTTTAATACATAATAAACATCATGAAATCGTAGACGTAAAATCCGTAGTGAGATGAATGTTTTTGCCGGACAGATTATCTGCGTGGTCCCTAATATAAATTGTGATATCCTCCAGTTCGATATTCACTGTTTTCCCCTTGGATACATATCAATCGTTTATAATCGTATCGAATCGAGTATAATAAGCAACCTTGCTGATCTATGTCGTTTATTTTCAATTAATCATCAACAATAACAATAATGTCATGGTTTTTTTATTGGTAGAATAATCACAAGAACTTGTTCAACTGTAATCATGTAAATCAGATATTGACTTTCTATCAAGTTGATTATCTAATAACGATATTAATTATTTTTTAAAAATGAACACTGATTTATATTTGGATTATACGAATTGGTCTGAGCATAAATTGTAATTCAGTTATTGATGGGAAAGGCGTTAATTCAGTTGGATAGAGTAAAACAAGCTACGTCTGTTTGGTCTGTTTAGTATTCATAGTTTCGTTTTCAGAAAGTGACCATTGTTGAAATATCAGATTTTGTTTTTTTTAATGCTGGCTGAAAGGGAGAGAGAGAGAGAAATGGTGTTTAACGTCCACTCGACACAAACTAGGTCATTTCGGGACTAACATATGGTTTAATTTTATTTACATAATTCGCTTGCGCGTAGGGGTCTTTAGCAGTGGGAGGAAACCGGAGGCCCCGGAGAAAACCCACGAGGTTGGACAGGCGACCCTAATCCTTGCCACGCACAACCGGGATTCGAAACCACGCCAGTCGACTCAATGACAGACTTTATGATACAGCGCGCGCACGCTAACCATATAGCTCTATTTATTGGAAACTTAAAATAGACCAAAATGGGTTCAAATGTACATATTTACATTCATATTCTATTAAAATAGAATATGAATGTATATAAAGTGATTTACTTTCAATCTATAAATTTTTATTGTAATTTCTATTCAATTGTGCTAAGTGAACAGTTCAAATTGAACAGAAGTCGTTTGCACCAGCTTAATCTATTTAACAAGAATTTTTTTTTTTTTTTGAAATGGGGTTTAACGTCCTACTGTTCTGCTCCTAAACTGGGCTAATGAAGACGGGCATACGCCATGCAGTGTGCTATGAGGGAAATTTTGCCCGGGCAGCGGCGCTACGGCCTACTCTTATATCGACTTCCAACTGCCAAGGGATCTTTTACGTGCACTCCAATGTGTACACGGGACCTCGGTTTTTCGTCCCATCCGAACGACTAGACAGCTGTTCTTGTCAGTCCCTCCGTCCTGCATCACTGACAAGGGGAAACCATGCCGGAAAATCGGGATGAACTTTCTCGGCCAATGCAGGGATCGAACACCCGACCTCCAGGCTAGTGAGCCAGCGTCTTACCCACTTAGCCACGTGATCCCCCCCTATTTAACAAGGTTTTCTTTAAAAAAATCTTTTGTCGTTTATGAATCAGCCATTTTTAATTATTTCATCATGGTCTTCTGGATATGTTTGTCTTTGTTCATTACAAATGGCGATCGAAACCATAGAGTACACTACGTCGTGTACATATTTTAAAATGTCCACTGTGTCTTAAATAGTGGTATTAGGATCCCATATTTTCACGGTAAGATAAACGAACAAATGTTAATTTCTAATCGTGTTAGTTTCGAATATTAGGGATAATGAGTTAAAGGTTTAGCTACTTTAAATTGACAGCAAGGCAGAATATACGCCTAATATATTAGCGAGTTGTAAAAAGCCATTGTTGCTATAATCACCTATAATATGCAACTGCAATGTAAAAGTTTGTGAATTGAAATCGCTGTGATGTTCTTGCTTGGTTTCCTTTTTCCAGGGTGCATGGCGGGGAATGTGACAAGGAACTGTGTTTAGTCGTTCGGATGGGACCAAAACCGAGGTCTAGTGTACATGTTAGCGTGCACATAAATTTTAATACCCCTGGCATTTTGAATTTCCCTCAAAACACACAGCTTTGCGCATATCCGTCTTCATTAATGACAAGTTATTTATTTATGAACTCAGTATTTCTAAAATCAATCAGTACTTTCGATTTTTAAAACTGTGCATGTTTACCATAATGGCTTGTATTAAGTGACCTTATTTCCAATAATGACACCAATAAACTGCAAGTACAGTTTTCTACAAAATAGACTTCCCAAAGGGACAATTTGTTTCAAAAATGACACATCCAAAGCCCAATTTTACTTCATTAAACGCTGGTGGATTTCACAAAATTTGAGAAATAATTGATCTAAATTCTAGTGTTTCTCAGGTAAGTTATAGCAGTGTAGCCTAAGGGATCGTAATCGACCACTTGCGCTTCGGTATAATTCAAACCATGAATAATGATATGAAAAAAAAACATGATTATTTCTTGTGGAAAATTACAATGGCATTGTCTATAAAGGAACATGTTGCCGGTTGAACGGTAATCAGATTTGTCGAAGCGATAAATTGATTTTTATATCGATGCCTAGCTATAGCTATATTTTTGAATTTCTCCAATATCTTTTGTAATATTTATGTGCTTAACTATTTTTTACCTTCAGAACGTTAACACAACAAATACATTTGTTATGCTTTTTTACCTCAGATTTTCAACAATTTCATAGGGGAATTGATCTTAAGCGGTCTAGCTGCATCCAGCTAAAATAACATTTCACGAAAGAATATATATGTAAATCAATATGTGTTACATTTAACCTCCTTAAACGTAGCAAAAACGGGCGATTTTCTTAGGAAAGTTTGCAAGGGTTTTTAATTGCCCTTGATGGGAAAATCGTGTCACTGCGACTACAACGGAGATCGACTTAATCGTAGGCGACTAAATGCTTCCTTAAATGTAGCAAAAACAAGCGATTTTCTTAGGAAAGGTTGTAAGCGATTTTTGAATTGGTCTCGATAGGAAAATCTTGTCATTGAGACCACAACGGAGATCGAATTTTGTCGTAGGCGACAAGATGCCTAAATATTCGGCAACGTAGAACTGCTCGTCGTACATCGGTCGCTGTGTGTGCGTCAAAAAGCAATTTTTGTATGGAGACAAGCGGTTGCCATGCAAGACACGCCAACATTTCGCAAGATAGACAGAGAACAAGCTAAAAAGCGATTTTTCGTACAATCAGGTGCCATAATCCAGGATGTTACGGTGCGACATGCGACAATATCAACAGGAACCACGATCTTTGGGATATAAACATATGTTTTAAGTTTCGTCAAAATTGTTACCTCTTGAAGGTCCACAAGCTAAAAACGCGTTTTTTTGTATAATCCAGGAAGTTAAGGACAAATATAAATGCGTGAATATCGAAAGGAACTGAGATCTTTGGGATATAAACATATATTTTAAGTTTCACCATGGACCTTAATATGATGACAATATTGTGACCTCTAGAGGGCCCACAACCTTGGTATTACATACTTTTACACTATTTGCGTACATGGAGCGGTCTTTTTGTCAGACAGTTTTGGTCCTATATTCACGGAATTCAAACTCACCTCATGATTTAAAGGTGATATATTTAAACAGTTTTTAAAAGCTAAAGACGTGATATTTCGTACAATCAGGGACCATAATCCAGAAAGTTACGGTCCGATATTCGCCAGAGAACCACGCTCGCTCACCTGGAGGTCCCGTATTCGACCGCAGTTGACCAGCGTGGTTTCTAATAATATTGATTGTGAAAATTTGTGCTTTACATGAATAATAATGTTAGGCTAATTCACCCGATTAGATTTTATTACATACTTCGAGAAGGTATTTGTTGAGTAATAAAACCTTCTAGTAGTTTATCGACGGCTGGCCGTCCTTACCGCACGGTACAAATAAAACCTTCTAGTAGTTTATCGAGGTTCGGGTGCTTCCGGAGTCCAAAATGGCCGCTTTATATAAATGAGAATTTTGGGGAAAACTAACCCGAACCCTAACCCTAACCCTTTTTAAATGACTAAACTTGGGTCTAATTTAGTTTTTACTTCTCTTAAAAGGGTTAGGGTTAGGGTTCGGGTTAGTATTCCCCTAAATACTCATTTGTATAAAGCGTCCATTTTGGTATGAGTTCTGGCTTGTTCTGGAATTTGTTGCTTCTAGTGGTGATAATATTTGTACCGTGCGGTAAGGACGGCCAGCCCTCGATATTACTCAACAAATACCTTCTCGAAGTATGTAATAAAATCTAATCGGGTGGCTAATTATGCTAATATTAGAATTTTAACTTAATTATGGCCTTGAGTAATTATTGGTTTCATATTCATGAAATGATTGATAAGTTGATAAATAAAATCATCTATAATTTGGTAAACATTTAATTCTGGGTCAATAACAAAATAACATCTCTGACACTCCTGGTGGAACGTTTTCACTGTCCATATAAGGGTGGTTCTCGACGTCATTAAGCTTAGTAACCAATCATCATAATTAATTACGTAATATTTGCCCAATTAGCTGTCTCTTGGCCTCTGTCAATAATTAAAAGACTGATTTAGATACTATAGAGTTTAGACACGG